TGCAAAATGATAAATGCATCCAATCTTTACAGCCATTTTACCTTCCCCACTTTATAATTTTAGCAAATATGGAAACTTGTCTAGATCTGCCAGATGGTATCGCTTACAAAACAATTCTTCTACAATCATCACATGAAAAAATTTGATAACAATATAAGATTTTATTAATAAGGACCCCCATGTAAAGACTGATGAATATCTAAAGTGGTACATCATATAAATAAATGTTTAAATACACCTAGGACTGAGATAAATGGTAAAACTCTTTAGCCAATACTTTATAAAAAAAAATTAACTTGCTAAGAAAATTTTTTACCACTATTCACGAATTCGAAAACCTAGCTAAATGCCGTTTTCCGGTACTTTCTGTACATAGCTCTGGGGAATTCACCTAATGGAGTGTAATAGCGAACTCGATGTTTTCGGCCTTTTTTAAAATTAGATTGAAATAAAACAGTTATTTCTTTATAAGAAAATAATTAAATATTATTGTATGAATAATTCCATAGAAAAAATAAAGTAAATACACAAGTTTACGCAAAAAATATCCTTATTTATTATGGAAGATTCCACTACGTCTGTTTAAATTTTATTGATTTTCAATATAAACAATTTATTTTTAGAAAAATTTGTAATAGATTTTAAATGAATATTGATAATTTTCAAATACATCAATTTTTTTCACCTGAAACGGTAGAATAAAGATAGAAAAATAGAAATATCATGTAACTGTGTTATGTACTTCTGTTGGTGTAATTCCCCAGAGCTAAATCCGTAAAGTACCGGAAAACGGTGTTTAGCAAGGTTTTCGAAAAGGTCAATTTTAACAAGTGTCTATTTTGATATAGTGAAAGTTGGACAATTTATATTGTGTCACTTAAATCAAACAGTTTCTTATTGTTTTTCTGATAATATCTGACAATTAATCAAGTGTGGCATTTCTGCAAGTTTTGAAGTTAATACAACATGTGAGTTCATGCAATTTAGTCCAACATGACATCAGTGCCACAGAATTAAGAATGTGTTTGAATTTAGGTTGTGATTGAAAATTGGTTGTTTCGGGATATCTACGTCTGACATAATTTCGTAGAAATACCTTCTTACCCAATTGCACCGCTTTCCATTCACTTCAACTAAAACAAAACTAGACCCTATTTCAGTATAATTTTGTATGAGCTCTGAGCCTACTTACTTGTACATGTTTGAAAGCTTCTCAGCATTGTTGGCATAAGCCTTACAGTCGCCATAATTAATATTTCTCTGTCTTCAAAATAATTAAAGATGTTTTACGGATACTTATATATTCAGTTGTGGCGATATTTAACCAATCCAGCACTAATTAATTCGCCAATCTACAACCAACATAAATATATACTTGATATACCAAGCTAAAGGTCAAGGTCGTTATGAGCAACACGGGATACGTTATTATTTGCGAATTAGTGTGTACTCTGTAATTTGTATGGCCTATTTTACGAGTAAATATAACAAAGAAAAAAGATGCATTTTAAATTCACGATAAATTTTCAATAAATTTATTTCAAACAGAAAGCAACTAATATGAGCACTAGAGAAAATTTGTTTTAAAAAATATAATTTTATCAACTATAATAACTGATCCCTGAGTGTCACAAATCGCATCCTCTCGGCCTTTTCCGTCTGCGATTTTTTTATCTAGGTTGAAGACCAATAAATATTTTCCTTGTTTAATCTTTAACAAATACGTTTAATATCAGTTATATTAATGTCTCGTATTAAAAAATATTATATAACATTTGACTTTATCATATTAAAACAAGAGCACCGCTAGGCGGAGCATTATATGCCCGAAAGTGTTTTTTTTAGTAAGGATGAAGCATTTGTAAGACATGGGAATTCGCTGTTCATCCTATAAAATTTTACAGCTGAAGGTTGATTAATACTTAAGTTACTTATAATGACCTTAACCTTTGACCTTGTGACCCTAAAATCAATAGGGGTCTTCTACCTTATATGGACAATCATCCTAAGAAGTTTGAATATTGTAGGCCAATTGGAACTTTGATTATGCTCTAGAAACTGTTTTCAGTATTAAGGTAAAAGTGACTTTGACCTTTGACCTTGTGACCCCAAAATCAATAGGGGTCTTCTACCCAATATAGCCAATCATCCTATGAAGTTTGAATATTGTGGGCCAAATAGAACTTACGTTATGCTCCGGAAATTGTTTTTGGTTTTAAGGTAATTGTGACTTTGACCTTTGACCTTATGACCCCAAAATCAATAGGGGTCTTTTGCCCAATATGGACAATCATCCTATGAAGTTTGAATATTGTGGGCCAAATGGAACTTAAGTTATTCTCCGGAAACTGTTTTCAGTTTTAAGGATATAGCGACCTTGACCCTTGACATTTTGACCCCAAAATCAATAGGGGTCTTCTACCCAATATGGACAATCATCCTATGAAGTTTGAACACTGTGGGCCGAATGGAACTTAAGTTATGCTCCGGAAACTGTTTCCAGTATCAAGGTAATAGTGACCTTGACCTTTGACCTTGTGACCCCTAAATCAATAGGGGTCTTCTACCCAATATGGACAATCATCCTATGAAGTTTGAACATTGTGGGCCAAATGGAACTTAAGTTATGCTCCGGAAACCAAATTGCTAACGGACGGACGGACGGACAGACAGACGGAAGCCAGGGGGTATAACATAATATGCCCTTTCGGGCATATAAAAAAACAAAACAAAAAAAAACTCAATGATGCAAAATGAAGTTCATTTTTTTCCTGTTAAGTATTCTTAGCATTATTTTTTCACTTTTTAAATCTTGGTACCTAGTATATACATGCATATATGCTATGTCACCGTTCAAAACTGTTCACTACTTAGGGAAGAAGATATGTAAGCAGCCAGATCGCTCAATCATTCCAAGTGTCCCGGGTTCGAGTCCCAGTCAAGCTGCACATTTTCCTCACCCTTTGACTTTTGGCGCCCAATGAGGGATCGTGGCTATATTTAGCTCAGAGTTTAATAAATATTGCTCTGTTACCTTAAGACACGGATTTATATTACAATTGTAATATAATGTAAGAGTTGCTATATAATGTATGAGTTGCTGTGTGTAGTGGTTTAAGCATACTGGACCGGCAATCCAGAAGACATACATGGTCTTTCATGTAATTTCTCTCTCTCTCCATCTCTCTCTTTGCTGACCTTTCGCAATTTATATTGTGAGGCTTTAGTTCATATCTATCTATGAATTTAAGTGAATGTTCATTAGATAATCCATTTTTTTTTTATTTACATGTTTCAAGTTGGTGCTGAAAAAGATCATATGCAGTATTAACTATTAAGGACTTCATTATCCAATAATGCTGTTATATGTATAGCTTCAGAGGATCTTAAACAACCTTTAAATCATCTGCAGATTTATCAATTGAGTGTGGGGAGGGGTTGCAGCCAATGCTAGCATCTTGTTTTCACAAAACAACTTTCTGTAGAGCCATGTATTATAAGCTCATCCTGAACAGTACTAGTGAGCTAAAAATGACATCAGTGACATCAGCTTTAAAATTTGGGCTTACATCATAGACAACAATTAAGGTCTGTAAAACAATTGACATAAATGTGAGCAAGATGATAATGGTGTCCATTTTGCCCGAAATAATGTTCTCATAAAACAGATTTTGTCATAGAGTGACTGGAATTAGAACTTAGGCTTTTTCAATTTTTCTAGGTAAGTTGCCAAATTAATTATGTGATGTGATCCATCAGTAATTTCCTTTTATCATTATATATGTTGTGCAAAAGAAAATGGGAAAAAATGAACAAAGTCAAAGGATTTTTGTGTCGCCTCTACGGAGTAGTGGCGACATATAGGGATCACTTCTCCGTCGTCTGTCTGTCCGTCCGTCACAAAACTTGTCCGGACTACTCCTCATAAACTACTGGTGCAATTTCATCCAAACTTTACAGGAATGATCAGTACCAAGTCTAGTTGTGCATATTGTCAGCATTTTCTGGTTCAATGATTTTTGTCAGAGTTATGGCCCCATTAATAATTTTTAATTTTAAAGTTTGTCCGGACTACTTCTCTTATACCACTAATGCAATTACAATGAAACTTTACAGGATTGATCTGTAGCTCAAGTCCTTGCGCATATTGCACAGGTTTTCCGGTTGAATGATTTTTGGTCAAGTTATGGCCCTTTGATAAAAAGGTGTTTTTTCTGTGTGTTGCCAGATACACAAAAGCTTGTCCGGACTACTCCTCATAAACTACTGGTGCAATTTCATCCAAACTTTACAGGAACGATCAGTACCAAGTCTTGTTGTGCTTATTGTCATCATTTTCCGGTTCAATGATTTTTGTCAGAGTTATGGCCCTTTAATAATTTTTATTTTTAAAGTTTGTCCGGACTACTTCTCTTATACCACTTATGCAGTTTCAATGAAACTTTACAGGATTGATCTGTAGCTCAAGTCCTTGCGCATATTGCACGGGTTTTCTGGTTGAATGATTTTTGGCCGAGTTATGGCCCTTTGATAAAAAGGTGTTTTTTTCTGTGTGTTGCCAGATACACAAAAGTTTGTCCGAACTACTCCTCATAAACTACCGGTGCAATTTTATCCAAACTTTACAGGAATGATCAGTACCAAGTCTAGTTGTGCACTGTCTGTCTGTCTGACCGTCTGTCACAAAATTTGTCCCAACATGAAATTGGCCATCATGAGGCGACACATGTGATTACTGATCGCTCTTGTTTATCTTATGAACATACAAATAGGTTGTGCACCAAGTCATGATGTCCCATTATATACATAGGAATAAAACATCAATAAAATCATGCCATACTGAACAATATAAAGATTGTATATACATTTTCAGTTAATGGAAGTAACTATGATTTAGAGCTTATCTCTACAATAATTATCTAAAATTAAATTATGTATCAGTCAATTTTGGCATACACTATTGTCATATTGCCAGGAAAAAGAATCATTAAATCACAAGATTATATGCATTGAAATGAATTTATTTTATTAAACATATTTTCATAAAATTTATCACTCATAATTCTGACATATTTATTATTATTTCAGAATACTTAACAAATCATCATATAGAAAACTATATATTTTGTCCAGACACCTAATGCTCCAAAAAGTAAGGAAAAACAACATTTAATATTCACTACAATTTGATAAATACAACAAGAAAACATTATTTATTTACAGAGAGGTGTACAAAATAAATTAAAAATAGTGACTTGAAAATCTTGATAATAAAAGAAGAAAAAAATAAGCACAAGACAATGTGTTGAATTCATAATTATCTGCACCCAAAAGATTCAAATTACTTAACCTTTTCCCTCATATAGACGTGTTTTGACGGCTTTTTGCCCCCCCCCCTTTTTGATGCCTCAAACAGTGAAAAAATGCCCTATTTAGACCCCAAAACACTGTTTTTCATTTGAGAAATGTTGTTAAAAAAAGTGACGACCTTTTCGGCGCCGCACCCATCAAAATGTTACATCAGGGGGGTTGCCCGAAAAAGGGATGTGCCCCTTGCTGTTTGGGGGGGGGGGTTTGAACAGGGGGGGGCATAGTCCCCCTCATCTCTAAGGAAATTTTGGACATGTGACAGACTAAAAATGGCCTCAGGTTGATCTTAGGGTAACTTGCAACCGACGCTGAAAAGCCCTTTACTCTATCTCAATTCATAGAGAAGTTGCAGCACTTTGAAATCAGTTTTGATGGGAAAAAAACAATGCAAAATAGTGATTTTTCGCAACAGTTTCATAGCAGTTTGAACTTGTAACAGGAGGCTTTTCGATGAAAACGGCCATTTTTCACAATATGCTCAAGGGGTAAAAGTTTAACTGAAGCTACATAAGTATTATTTCATGTACCTCAAAGCATATTATGATACAAAGCCTAGAAAAATGGGTCAAGCAAATTAAAGGACTTTGAGATATACATTGTAATTGCATTAAGATATTATTCTGACAAAGCCTTGTAGTAATTTATTTGAAGTACATGTATGTTAATTAATATAAAAATTAAAATCTTAGGATTCAAGTGTAGTGAAAGATTCTAACAAGTAACAACATTAATTACAATTTTATATAGTTCTTGATATGTCATAATGACTTTAAGATAAGCTCTGGACAAAAACTGAATATGAAATATTACAAAGTTAAATAACTACTACAGATTAAATATAGTGTTTTATCAATACCAATAAAAACAACATATTCGACTATTTTGCACAATATGATATGCAAGCAAGTGAACCTAAAATATCAACACAAATTTCCGTTTTATAATGCAAACGATTGAGTATATAAAATACAAAACAAGAGCGATCAGTGATCACATGTGTCGCCTCATGATGGCCAATTTCATGTTGGGACAAGTTTTGTGACAGACAGACAGACAGACAGACGGACAGTGCACAACTACACTTGGTACTGATCATTCCTGTAAAGTTTGGATGAAATTGCACGAGTAGTTAATGAGGAGTAGTCCGGACAAGCTTTTGTGTATCTGGCAACACACAGAAAAAACCACCTTTTTATCAAAGGGCCATAACTCGGCCAAAAATCATTCAACCGGAAAACCTGTGCAATATGCGCAAGGACTTGAGCTAATGATCAATCCTGTAAAGTTTCATTGAAATTGCATTAGTGGTATAAGAGAAGTAGTCCGGACAAACTTTAAAAATAAAAATTATTAAAGGGCCATAACTCTGACAAAAATCATTGAACCGGAAAATGCTGACAATATGCACAACTAGACTTGGTACTGATCATTCCTGTAAAGTTTGGATGAAATTGCACCAGTAGTTTATGAGGAGTAGTCCGGACAAGTTTTGTGACGGACGGACAGACAGACAGACAGACGACGGAGAAGTGATCCCTACTCCGTAGAGGCGACACAAAAATAACAAAAAAAATACAAAGGGGTGTAATGTAATTCTGAAAATATAGGAATCAAAGGGGTGTAATGTTATTCTGGAAATATAGGAATCAAAGGGGTGTATTGTAATTCTGGAAATATAGGAATCAAAGGGGAGTAATGTTATTCTGTAAATATAGGAATCAAAGGGGTGTAATGTTATTCTGGAAATATAGGAATCAAAGGGGTGTAATGTAATTCTGGAAATATAGGAATCAAAGGGATGGAAGTATAGGAATCAGAGTTAAAAACCTTGTCATGTAATACATGGTTGATGATAATGAACTGCAACTAGCATTTTAAGTCTGAAGTAATCCCTTAAGCAACAAAGATGGGCTAGTTGCCTTGGTTATAAACTTTGTCATATGTCATGCAGATAATTGGGATTAACTTGTCAAGAATTAAAACTTGTCATGAATAAAGAGTAAAGAGATCAATGATTATAATTTTAAGAAGAAATTTTCTTTGAGCATTACGAGCCTGTCATATATGATGTGACCAATCTAATGTGGCAGAAACAACAATTGGAAGTATTAGGTAATACAAAATAATACTAACATTTTTTTATTGAAATTCCAAATGAGATATAGGTGGAAATGCAATGAACCTTTAAGACAAATTTTACATTCTAAGGGGAGATAATTATTAAAATACAGAAGCTAGGCCAGACACAGAACTACAAAACATAACTGATTTAAAGCAAGGAAAATGTTTACTATTTTGATATGTGTTCAACAAGGGGAACAGACTAGAGAGAAGTACTTTGTACTGTAAACAGGCAGCATATACCAGAAGTCACCGTTTCTTCTTTCTGGCATTCTGTAATTATGTTGTGCTTTTCTACAGTTTCTCCTAGTAACTTCATTAAAATGACAAATATCTTCCATATTTAGTAAGTAGATAACTTAAAGGGTCATCTAACTTAGGGTGGAACTTGGGGTCCCTGGGTTCAAGGTTTTTGTAAGCATTTCATTCTTTCAATGATTTAGAAGAACAATTTACTACAAAACAAAGTAACATACAAATAAAACAGATCAATAACAAAACAAAGATATAAATATTAAATAAAAAACTAGAAATGTGTCCATAGGACACGAGTGCCCGACACTCCACCGATTTGTCAATCTTATGTCTCTAGGTCAAATTTTTTTTTTGGCTACATGTGCCAAGGTTAAAAACTAAAAATATTTTATTAAGTAAAGGAAAAATATTACAAATACTGAATAAATCCACAAGAAAATCCCAAGGTGCATAAGTATACATGCTGACCAACATTCTTGTAAACTTTCAGGCCTACAGGTCAAATACTTTTTGAGTTACGTGCAACGCAAGTTGAATATTGTAAATTTTTACTAAGTCAAGGGCAATAACTCTAAAAATACTAAAAATATCCACACGAAAATACCCAGGTGCACAACTACACATGCTGAGCAACATTCCTGTAAGGTTTCATGACTCTAGGTCAAATACTTTTTTAGTTATGTGCAACACAAGTTGAAAATTGGAAATTTTTACTAATTCAAGGGCAATAACTCTAAAAATACTAAATATATATCCACACAACAAGAGCTGTCGGTAGGACAGCAACGCTCGACTATTCTAGTGCTTGATAGTAAAAAATAATGCTTGATAGAGTTACCTACTCCTGTTTACAGGTTGGTGACATGATGGTGAACAAGTATGCAAAGTTTCAAAGCCATATGTCAATGGACTTTGAAAATATTTGAGGTATTACAAAAAACTTTAACGTAAATTCTAAGTCGAAAAAGGGGCATAATTCTGTCAAAATGCTTGATACAGTTACCTCCTCCTGTCTACAGGTTGGTGTCATGATGGTGAACAAGTGTGCAAAGTTTCAAAAGCCATATGTCAATGGACTTTGAAAATATTTGAACTATTACAAAAACTTTAACGTAAATTCTAAGTCGAAAAAGGGGCATAATTCTGTCAAAATGCTTGATACAGTTACTTCCTCCTGTCTACAGGTGGGGGTCATGATGGTGAACAAGTGTGCAAAGTTTCAAAGCCATATGTCAATGGACTTTGAAAATATTTGAACTATTACAAAAACTTTAACGTAAATTCTAAGTCGAAAAAGGGGCATAATTCTGTCCAAATACTTGATACAGTTACCTCCTCCTGTCTACAGGTGGGGGTCATGATGGTGAACAAGTGTGCAAAGTTTCAAAGCCATATGTCAATGGACTTTGAAAATATTAGAGGTATTACAAAAACTTTAACATAAATTCTAAGTTGAAAAAGGGGCATAATTCTGTCAAAATGCTTGATAGAGTTACCTCCTCCTGTCTACAGGTTGGGGTCATGATGGTGAACAAGTGTGCAAAGTTTCAAAGCCATATGTCAATGGACTTTGAAAATATTTGAAGTATTACAAAAACTTTAACATAAATTCTAAGTTGAAAAAGGGGCATAATTCTGTCAAAATGCTTGATAGAGTTACCTCCTCCTGTCTACAGGTTGGGGTCATGATGGTGAACAAGTGTGCAAAGTTTTCAAAGCCATATCTCAATGGACTTTGAAAATATTTGAACTATTACAAAAACTTTAACATAAATTCTAAGTTGAAAAAGGGGCATAATTCTGTCAAAATGCTTGATAGAGTTACCTCCTCCTGTCTACAGGTTGGGGTCATGATGGTGAACAAGTGTGCAAAGTTTCAAAGCCATATCTCAATGGACTTTGAAAATATTTGAACTATTACAAAAACTTTAACATAAGTGGTTACGCCGACGCCGACGCTCGGGTGACTTCAATAGCTCTACTTATTCTTATCGAATAGTCGAGCTAAAAATACCTAGGTGCACAACTACACATGCTGATCAACAATCCTGTAAGGTTTCATGACTTTAGGTCAAATATTTTTTGAGTTACGTGCGACACAAGTTGAAAATTGTAAATATTTACTAAGTCAAGGGCAATAACTCTAAAAATATCCACATGAAAATACCCAGGTGAACAACTACACATGCTGACCAACATTCTTGTAAGTTTTCATGACTCTACGTCAATTAATTTTTTTAGTTACGTGCGACACAAGTTGAAAATTGGAAATTTTTACTTAGTCAAGGGCAATAACTCTAAGAATACTAAATATATCCAAATGAAAATACCCAGGTGCACAACTACACATGCTGATCAACATTCCTGTAAGGTTTCATGACTCTAGGTCAAATATTTTTTGAGTTACTTGCTACACAAGTTGAAAATTGCAAATTTTTACTAAGTCAAGGGCAATAACTCTAAAAATGCTAAAAATATTCACATGAAAATACCCAGGTGCACAACTACACATACTGACCAACTTTCTTGTAAGTTTTCATGACTCTAGGTCAAATACTTTTTCAGTTACATGCGACACAAGTTGAAAATTGGAAATTTTTACTTATTCAAAAATACTCAATATATCCACATGAAAATACCCAGGTGCACAACTTCACATGCTGATCAACATTTTTGTAAGGTTTCATGACTGTAGGTCAATTACTTTTTGAGCTATGTGCGACACAAAAAGAGAACAGACTGACTGATGGATGGAGGGACGGACAAGGGTAAATCTTAATGCACAAAAATCAACACTTGTAATAAATGCTTTTAATTCACTTATTGTGAAAAATTGTCACAAAACTGCCTAAAATTATTTGAAGAAGACTTGAGAATGGTCACAGACCTAGAGCATAGAAGTGTATTTCTCTATTACTTATCATATGGAGAAACAACAAAAAAGGGCTTATAACTTTGCAAAAAATAATTAAACTGCAAAACTTTAAAAGTATGAGCTTGGGTTCTTTGTTTTAATAATTCTGTCAAATTTTGTTGAATGTCCTTAAGAAATGTTGGAGAAACTGTACACAGACACGGAATTTCTCAATATATAGCATATGAAAACAAACAATATTAATGGGCTATGCATTTGCTCAACATTTTTAAATCACAAAACCATAGTAACATGCACCAGGGAACTTGGTAACAAAAGTTCTTTTTAAATCCTTTAAGAAATATAGGAGTTACATAGAGAATCTCTATATATAGTCTATATTCATGCATTACATGTCATAATTTGTCGAAAAATGAATGAGAGTCTGAGCACATTTACCAATCTATTAACTATCATTTTCTTTTTAAACTAGAACTGTGTCCAAAGGACACGGATGCCCCCACTGACAACATGTATATGGTATATAGTGAAAAAATCAACAAAGGGCCATAATTCTGTTAAATTTGGTCGCAGCAAAAATTCCTTCCTTTACTACCATCTACACATTAAGGTTGTTCATCCCTGGAAGTTTAAGCAAAATCTGCCATTCGGTTTAAGAGGAGTTGCGTTCACAAAATTTCTATATGGTATATAGTGAAAAAATCAACAAAGGGCCATAATTCTATTAAATTTGGTCGCAGCAAAAATTCCTTCCTTTACTACCATCTACACATTAAGATTGTTCATCCCTGGAAGTTTAAGAAAAATCTGCCATTCGGTTTAAGAGGAGTTGCGTTCACAAAATTTCTACATAGTATATAGTGAAAAAATCAACAAAGGGCCATAATTCTGTTAAATTTGGTCGCAGCAAAAATTCCTTCCTTTACTACCATCTACACATTTAGGTTGTTCATCCCTGAAAGTTTAAGCAAAATCTGCCATCCGGTTTAAGAGGAGTTGTGTTCACAAGATTTTGGGACGTACGGACGGACAGACATACGGACGGACAAGTGCAACGCTATATGCTCCCACTTTGTGGGGGCATAAAAAAACCCTAGTAAAAGAAAGTCCAAAAGTGATCTTTCTTCAAATCATCATGAGAACACTACACAAAAACATTTCACATAATATTCATCTTTAACATAATATTATTTCCTATAAATACTATGTTCACAACATGTGCACATATATATGAAATGAAACTGCTCAACTATTCTGAAATAAACGATGCATGACTGTGATTTGGCAATTTTCGAAACTGAATTAATAATTAACCATGTGAGTATCATTTGTCATTTTACATCTTGTTCTACAGTTACTTTTCATACTGAACTATGTAGAAATACAATGCTGCTGTAGAGGAACCATTTAAATACATGACACCAGTCTACAACAGTACTGCTTCCTGAATAACCAGTCAATCACTCTATGAAACTAGTCACATTTTTAAAACATTAAACCAGTCTAAAACATTAAAAACTAGATCATGCTGTTGAAGACCCAGATTGTCTCTCCTCCTCTTCAGTATCATGTATGTAAATTGCAGGTGAATCATTCTTCACGACATCTTCATTTATAATCACAGTTTTAATATCAGACCCGGGCTGTTCATACATAGGCATCAACAAGCATTTCTCCTGAAAAAACAAAACAATTTCTGGGTTTTTTTTCTGTTCAAAATGTACCAATTTTACTGGTTTAAAATTTATACTTCATAATAAATATCATACAGCAAACACCAGAAAATAATTTTTCATTATCAGCTCAACAGGCTGAACTTATGTTTGTTACATATTCACAGTGGAAAAATCACTGCACCATGACATAATATTATAGGCCTAGCAATTCATTTTGTACTCTGTCTTACGATTACAAGCACCTACTACTTCCAGTCACATTACTTTGCTTGGTAGCCTATATGTCTTAATTTGTATTTTTCTTGCATTTTTGCAATCACCTGAAGTAGTCTTATTAATACACTGTGAATTTGAGTGATAAAAGTAATTCATCTCAGTAATTCTTGTTTTTATGAATTTGACCAATAAACAGTAAAACAATATAATTTGAACATACGACTTCAGTTCTAAGACCACGTGCTCCTGTCTGTTTCTCCATGGCTATATGAGCTACAGCTTTTAAGGCATCATCTGTAAACTCTAACTGACACTGAAATAGCAAAAATAGGACAATAGTATCATAAAATACTTGTCACATAATGTACAACTATTACATTTAATTTACCATGTTGTTTTCCTTTCACAAAATAAATCTTATCTGACTGCAAAATGTTTTGTTTGCTATTCCATTTATGCTAGGAATGCATTTGTAACAGACTAAAACTCCATTACTCTAAACTAATAAAAATATATGAATAAGTTATGTACCTTTGCTAAGAAATTAAAGTGAGCATATTAAAAAGGAAACAAGGCTACAAAGTCATATAGAAAAGGAAGTAAACTGATGGGTGGAGCAAAACTCTTACTTGAAATTTTTTTTTAAAAGCCTTAAGTAAAAATTTAAAAATTCTAAGTTGACAAGGCAGTCTGATGGACAGCCAAATCCCCTTCCGCAGCGGACATGAATGTGTATTTCTTGACCTTTAACCAACCAAGACCTTGATGTTGTGCCACACTTATCATATGCAAATAGTCTCATGATGGTGATTATTTGTGCCAAGTTATTTAAAATCTATACAGTCAAAAGTTAAGGAGAACATATAACCTTGACCTTGGGGTAGCAACCTGGATATAACTTAGGGGTTGCAACCTGGGTGTTGTGCTCCGCAGATTGTGTCATAGTGGGGGTCATTTGTGCCAAGTAATTCAGTGTCTATTCTAGGAGGGGGGATTCACCCATATTTTTGAGAATTACCCCCTTATTTCTTCAGAGGCAGGGGGAAAATTTTACATAGAGAAAGAAGGAAAAAGATCAACAAATGTAAAAACTTCTCACTTTTCAATTAAAATCCCCCATTTTTTTGAATCCTAGAATAGACACTGGTAATTTAACAAGCAATTATCATAGTATTGCAAGCAATCCATAAGTCCCCTACCTGTAAGAACCCCATCAACATTCTGAAGGGCCATTGGCCATTCACTAATGTTTCAATTTTTCTCTATTTTAAGTAAATTTGTTGGAAAAGTTCTTTAAAAGTGATCACAGGGAACAGTTTTAATGAACAGACGGACTGAAGGACACTCTAAAGTTAATATTTGAAACATCCCTGTTACCAAAATATAACATTTTTAAAAGCAAAATTCTTAAAGAGGAGATAACTCTTGAATTAAAGATGCAATTTCATAAAAATTTTCAGCTCTTTATGACTAATCACAAATATTGTTATATTTGCCATGTTTTAAGCCTATTTGTTGCCAAGGCAACCAATATTTTTTCAAAATAGGAAGAACAGATAAGACAAGCATAATCTCAAGACTGCCATCTATCTACCCATATGTCAAGTTTCATAAAAATATTTCCAGTACTTTTTGAGTTATCACTGGATTCAGTTTATGTTCAAAATTTGCCATATTTTCAGTCTATGTGTTGCCATAGCAACCAGAATTTTCAACATAGGAAGAAAAGAAAAAGACATGCATAATCTCCAGACTGCCATCTATCCATATATCAAGTTTCATAAAAATATTTCTATTACTTTTTGCGTTAACACTGGATCCAGTTTTTTTTATGTGTAAAATTTGCCATATTTTCAGTCTATTTGTTGCCATAGCAACCAGAATTTTAAACATAGGAAGAAAAGAAAAAGACGTGCATAAACTCCAGACTGCCATCTACCCATATATCAAGTTTCATAAAAATATTTCTATTACTTTTTGCGTTAACACTGGATCCAGTTTTTTTATGTGTAAAATTTGCCATATTTTCAGTCTATTTGTTGCCATAGCAACCAGAATTTTAAACATAGGAAGAAAAGAAAAAGACATGCATAAACTCCAGACTGCCATCTACCCATATTTCAAGTTTCATAAAAATATTTCTATTACTTTTTGCGTTAACACTGGATCCAGTTTTTTTTATGTGTAAAATTTGCCATATTTTCAGTCTATTTGTTGCCATAGCAACCAGAATTTTAAACATAGGAAGAAAAGAAAAAGACGTGCATAAACTCCAGACTGCCATCTACCCATATTTCAAGTTTCATAAAAATATTTCCAGTAATTTTTGCGTTTTCACTGGATCCAGTTTATGTGTAAAATTTGCCATATTTTCAAGAAAAGAAAAAGATGTGCATTATCTCAATACTGCCATCTATCCATATATCAAGTTTCATAAAAATATTTTCAGTACTTTTCAAGTTATCGCGGGATCCAGTTTTGTGGACGGACGGACTGACAGACAGACGGACGTTCTAACAGGAGAGTAATAATGTGGCTACTCTATTGTTCTCTCTATTGTTCTTTTTAGCCACACAAAAGAAAATAGCCACATAAAAGCATTACGGAATGAATGACATCAAAGAGAAAGAACAGTTACCTATTGTCCCTCTAGCCACATAATTACTGTCCTGTGAGTGCGGACAGACAGACAGACGGACGGAGGGTAAACCTAAAAACCTTTGAATTGCCAATAAGTTATAGAGCGGACATAAAAAAAAAGATGTTGAAACATCAGACCTTTAAGTGTAACCCTGACCTCTAGGGTAGTGACTTGATTGCTGTGCCCTGCACATCGTCTCATAATGGGGATCATTTCTACCAAATTATCTTAAAACATTGCCATGGTTTAAATATTATGGAGTGGGCACAAAATGTAGACTTTTAACACTTGACCTTTACGTGTGACCTTGACCTTGGGGATAGCAACCCAATTGTTGTGCTCTGCACATCACCTGATAATGGTAATCACCTGTGCTTAGTTATTTTTAAATTTTTTTCAGCAGTTTAAAAGTTATGGAGCAGACACGATAGGTACACTTTTGAACACTTTTGACCAAATTATCTTAAAACATTGCCATGGTTTAAATATTATGGAGTGGGCACAAAATGTAGACTTTTAACACTTGACCTTTACGTGTGACTTTGACCTTGGGGGGTAGCAACCCAATTATTGCGCTCTGCACATCGTCTCACAATGGTGATCACTTGTGCCAAGTTTTTTAAAAAAAAATTCAGCAATTTATGTTATGGAGTGGACAGGAAAGTGTTACTGATGGACAGACGAACGGACAGACAGAGGCAATTCCTATAATCCCCTTCCGCATAGGGGGACACAATTTTATGAAAACCAATGGCATGAGTTATGAACTCTTATGTCAAGGACACCAACGCAGTGCTAAGGATGCTTACCCTTGAAACTTGTTAATTACAACAATCAAAGCTTCTTGTCAAATTACACATTTATATACTCATTTCAGAGTGCGAGAATGAAATAATTAAAGAAATATATAATGTACCTCATCTAGTAAGAAACACTGCTGATACTGTTTGATAAGAGAATTCTGTGGCTCTGTTAATATTCTAACCAACATTTCCTCTGTTAACGAATGTAAAGGTACAATCACTGGCATACGTCCCACAAACTCAGGTACGAGTCCAAAGTCTATTAGATCTGTAGCTTCTACACTCTCTAATAATTTATCTTTCTGTTCATTTTCATACTTCACAGACACTTTTTTACCATGTAATTCATGTGGGCTATAAGATTCTTGTTCTGAGCTTTGCACCTTCTTTTGGGGTGCTCCGAAACCTAGGTTCTGTAAAAGACAACAACATTTTTTCAATTTTTGTAAATTTTTGATGGAAACAAAAGAGCATAAGAAAGATTCATAGTAAATCTTAAAGGGTATCATAATGTATACTAAAACAAAGCTTAACATAAATTCTTAGTTGAAAAAGGTATAATGTTATCAAAACATATGACAGTTATGCCTGCGTTCCTAGAAGTGGGAATTATGTTCACTAATAAGCATTCAAAGTTTCAAAGTAATATCTGGCAGAGTATAGAAGTAAAGTGTGATGGTACGAAAGAAATTTAAAAAAAATTAACAAAGAATGTGAAGCAGGAGAGCTTTCTCTACAAAAGAAATATAAGAGTCAATCTGACATCCTACAGAAATAAACAACCAATGTAATCTTAGAACAATCTTTTCTAATACATTAATGTTAAAAACAGAGAGTGGTCATATTGGCCAAATACAAGTACTTAGTACAATATATTATATATCATTACTTGAATTTTGACAGTTTATATGACCCAGTATGATTATAAAGTCACGTAACCTGAGCTGCTGGGCTATTGTATCTTATTATGGCATGAACATTTGGAACAATATACCTTTAAATATTCGTAATGTTAATAACCTTAAATGTTTTAAAGAAAAATACACAGCCAATTAAACACGGCATTTAAGCCTGTCAAATTCTTTACAACAAGTTTATAATACTGCACAATTGCTTTCTTTGAATATAACAAAAATTAAATCAGTAATCATTTGAATAGATAATATAAACATTCCGATTGACAAATGACAATCTACATATATGTAAAATAATGTAATGATATAATTACATGATGCTAAAGCTCTTGTTAACATAAGACCATATAACCCTAAACCTGCTTCATTTCTGTGATAAATTTTCCCACTGAATTTATAACAGTACATTAAGAATATATGTAACTTCAATATCAAAATAGTATAACTGAGCTGTAACCAACAGTATAGAGCCTGGTCAGATTGTAGACGGGTTCTATACTCTAGGCAAAGAGTAGTCACTTTCCATTCCAACAGGTGAATGGTTAACAACTGCTTCATGGCCAAAATAATGTCTTATCAACTTCTTTAATGCTTTTTGTTTCTTTGCCACTTACAGTGTTAACATACTACTTACCTTCACATCTTTTCGTTTCTTTACAACATTGTCAAGTCCATTAAATGCCCCAGCAGCGATAAAAAGTATGTTTGTTGTGTCCACCTGTGTAGCTTCCAGTCTATGCCGCTTATTATTTTTCTCTGGCACATTGACAACTGTACCCTCTAACATTTTCAACATAGCTTGTTGGACTCCTTCCCCTCCCACATCCTTCAGAACATTTACAGTACTCCTTTCTCTTGCTATTTTGTCAACTTCATCCAAAAACACTATACCTGTAGAAATAACAAATTGATGGTCCTGTTGAAAATATAAAATTATTTTCATATTTATATCATATCAATTCAAGAATCAATTTTGTACTTTAAAAGTGAATCATAATCATGATGCCAGACTATATAATTTATTGAGCCTTTCCCACATAGCCAAAAAAAACCCCAAACATTATCAGTTCTATGGTATATTTCCTTTAAATAATAAATACCAGCAGTTTTAAAGCTGTTTATCAGATAAAAGTGCATACTAGGGATTTTCTGTAAAAAAGCAGATCAATATTTGGTTCAGGATATATTTTTTATTGAAAAATGAGCAATTTCTAAGTTATAAAGGACCATAATTTAAGAACACATATTCACTTTGGTGAAATTTAATGTGAATCTTTTTTTCTTAAAATTTAAATAAACATGTGTGGCGAGACAATAAAATCTAGATCAGAATTGAGATATGCTTGTTTTCAATTTAAAAATGTCTTTTTTAATATTTCAAAGGGCCTTTACCTTTAGATTACATAGTTTGTGATGAACATTTTTTCTTTCTATTTAATACATTTGTGACAGGTTCGATTGAAATCTAATTTACCACTTATATGTAAGTGTGTAAGTTATGAAGCTAGTGATACCTGTAGTATATAAAATATATCAAACAGTAGGTTAATGTTATGTACATATGGATGTCTTTGCCACTTAAAAACAAAAAAGTCATTTATCTTTTTCTTGCTGTTGTCCAAATCATTTTACACTTTACCACCATAACTATCTGACCAAAACATTATTCTAAAATAAACCTGATATAAATTTCTTGTAAAGGAACATTCTAACTGGGCAATTCCATTCCATTGTTCAATTTCAGCATTTGGGATGTATCTCAAATCTATTAATTTTTTCTCTCTATCTATTTATAAACCATGATTAATTACCTCTTTGGCATTTCTCCACATCACCTTTAGCCTCTTGTAACAGTTTCCCTATCACAGATTCAATATCTTCACCAACGTAACCAGCTGATGTTAGAGTCGTACAGTCACAGAAAGCAAATGGTACGTCTAATACTTTCGCCAAATGTTGGGCCAATAAGGTTTTCCCTGTGATTTATTATAATACAGATAAAGTTAAAGCAACATTGATGATGCCTGGAAAAATACTTTATTACATGATAGGATGATTATGCCCATTATAAAAATAAAATAAAATACCATATAAAGACATACTAGACTAAAGTTCTCAGTTGTGTTCAAAAAACAGTTTGTGGTACACAAGCTAAGTTATCATCAACCAAAACCATACTTTAAACAAGAGCCATGTTAACATGGCCACCCCCAAAAAGTATGAAAAATAACAAAGGGCAATTACTTAAAAATTATAAAGGGTAGAGTTATCATTCTTGCACACAGCATTCCTCCTCAATAAGATAAATCCACCTATGAAGTTTATGTTGACATCTCAAAGACTTTTTGAGTTATGCTCCACTCAGGTGAAAAATTAAGTATGAAAAATAACAAAGGGCAATAACAAAAAATTATGAAGGGTAGAGTTATTTTGAGTATTACTGAACTAAATTTATACAGTTTATTTATCAACTTGTATCAACCACATGACTGTATAAAACATATTTCATAAGGAAAAGTATGCAATTGTGAAAAATTGTTGTTTTTATTTATTTATTTTTTTTATTTTTACAAGTTAAGACATACTCAACACAGTCAGACCTTTGAGGCTGAGCTTTGTGCCGTTTGTTTAGCTTCTTGAATTTAAGAATTGATGAGCATTCTAATATTTGCTAACTCCAAGTGATCTGAATTTTTGTTTTGATGTCTATCAATTGCACTATGCTGTAAATTTAAGCTGTAAGAAGTGCAGCTCTTATTGGCTTCACGGTGACATGTACAAAATAATTTACATTGTCCATCAATAAATTTCAATTCCAACCATGTTGTAACCAAGTTTCCATGAATGTTTTTTTTATTTTTTTTTTTGTTGAGAAAGTTTAGTGCCAGAAAATCCTAGGTTAAACAGGCTTTTTTTAGCGATAGCCTAATGAATAATCAATTGCTAGTCAACAGCACATCATAGATGGAACTTGGCGACGTAAACGCTAAATTGATATCAATTCAAATATGCTGTGATCTTGAACAATGAAAATTACCAAAACAGTTGCATAATATTTTAAACAAAAACATTGTTATGTGTTTAAATCGAAGGAAATAAAAGATGTTACAATACTTGTAAAATTAACAATAACAGCAGGCTAAAATTAGCCAAAAGCAAAAAAAAAACACTTTAAAATGTCCCATCCTACTAACCGTGAAATTACAATTTCCGCAGTCCAATCTTCATAAGTGTGACAAATCAGCACACGTACATTTTACCAATTAATGAAAATTATTATGAACACATTATATGCTGTGTTTATTGATAAGCGGACCTCGCTATCAAATGCAAACCACGAGTGTACCCATCAAACCGATTCGTCACATCTACAGTACCTGTAGGCAGGACTAATTGCTTTGTTGATGCGAAATTCTTGCGTAGGCACTTATTGATTGACAAACAGTAAAATTTCCATGCATCCATCGGAAATTATCACGGGTCAAAAATGACATGCAAGCTGATTTTTTTCAAACAAGTGCATTTCAGAATTTTCACGGGTCAAGAACACAAAAATAATTGATTTTAAAAAAAGGGCTAACGATTGTCACCGACTTCGGGGTGGTCCGATTAGTTTTCGATTTTCAGCAACAATTAGGACAACACTATCTCAAAGGCTTTTTGTGTTTACTCTGGACAAAAATTAAGTTGGAAAAATAACAAAAGTCAATAACTGAAACAAGAGGGCCAAGATGGCCCTAGATGGCTCCCCTGACCCATCCACCTCATCCGGGCAATGTCTTAGACATGCATCCTGACAAAGTTTGGTGACAATTGAGTCAAAAATGTGACCTCTAGAGTGTTAAAAAGGTTTATCCATATTTGGCAAGTGTGACCTCATTTTTGACCCCAGGTGACCAATATTAAAATTTGATCTAGAAATCATTAAAACAACCTTCGTGACAATTTCCAGAATATTTGGATCAAAACTGCAGCCACTAGAGTGTTAACAAGATTTAGCTCCTGTGACCTAGTTTTTGACCCGAGAAACAACCCATATTCAAACTTGAAATCATCAAAACAACCTTCCTGACAAATTTCCAAAATATCTGGATCAAAACTGCAGCCACTAGAGTGTTAACACACTTTTTCTCTTTTTAGCTCTTGTGACCTAGTTTTTGGCCCGACATGATTCATTTTCGAAATTAACCTGTATTTCATTGAGACAAACATTCTGACAAAATTTGATTATGAATCAATCAAAACTGTGACTGCTAGAGTGTTAACAACCCAATTGTTGTCGATGCACTAGGCACAACGCACGAAGCGGGACATGGCCCCATCACTATACCTCACCTTGACCACTTCTTGGTCAGATGAGCTAAAAATATGTGGGATAGTTATCATTCTTGTGCATTGCACTCTACCTCAATTTGATCTATCCACCTGTGAAGTTTCAAGTTGATACCTAAAATACTTTTTGAAATATGCTACGGACAAAAATGTGGGACAGATGGACGGATTGACGGAGGGAAGGACAGGCGGAGACTATTTATATACCCCCACCGCTTTTTGGCGGGGGATAATTAAACAAGAGGGCCATGATGGCCCTGAGGTCGCTCACCTGTATATAGGCCCCCCCCTCACCCCCGGGCAAATTTTTACCCAAGGGCTTTTATTTGTTTATTTGAACAGACTTGGTGGACACCCATAAGAAGATGTTTCATGCTAAACATCTAAGTTCTAGCTCATTGGGTTTTTTAAAAGAAGATTTTTAAGTTTTTGCTATACACATATAAGGAAAATCAATGACCCCCCCCCCCCCGGGCGGGGCCAGTTTTGACCCCAGGGCTTTTATTTGAACATACTTGGTAGACACCCATTAGAACATTTTTCATGCTAAATATCTTAGCTCTAGCTCTTTGAGTTCTTTAAAAAAAGATTTTTTAAGTTTTTACTATATGCATATAGGGAAAATCAATGACCCCCTGGGGCGGGGCCAATTTTGAGCCCAGGGCTTTTATTTGAACAAATTTGGTAGACACTCATTAGAAGATGTTTCATGCTAAATATCTTAGCTCTAGCTCTTTGGGTTCTTTAAAAGAAGATTTTTTAAGTTTTTACTATATGCATATAGGGAAAATCTATGACCCCCTGGGGCAGGGTCAATTTTGACCCCAGGGCTTTTATTTGAACAAACTTGGTAGACATTCACTAGAAGACGTTTCATGCCAAATATCTAAGCTCTAGCTCTTATGGTTGTTTAAAAGAAGATTTTTAAAGTTTTTACTACTGTTAAACACTTATTTTTCGCGAGAACCTTATTTCGCGAATTTGAGGCAAAATGTCCAAAATAATTATTTCGCGTCAACATGAATTCGCGTCTTCCCGAAAAATGTGAAACCGGAAACCCGATGTCATTCGGATATTTTCTGTCCTGTCCGTTTACTAACTTTGCGTCGTTTATTGTGCGACGAATGCATTTATATCTGTATCGATTTTTCTGATAGCTTGCTAATCTTCTTGTTAAGCGAAACCGTCTGTCCAAAAATATGTCAATAAAGTTTGATAATTATTTTATATGTGTTCACTGTGTTTGTAAAAGTGTTACAGTTTCACTGATTAGCCATTCCAAGGCAAGCAGACGAAAATCAATTAAACGGTACTGTAATTTGCCTAACCTGTAGTAAACGATTATGTTTACCCTCCGGCTTAAACTGTAGTACACAATAAATAGAAATGTTACAAACAACTCGCAGGTGCTAAAGTATTTGTACCAATGAGATGAGAATGACATGATCAAGCGTGGGTGGGTGCAGGCCGGTATTGTTCAGTAGACTTAACCTTGATAAATTGTGTTGGAAATTTAATTAATCCATTAAGTTGGACAGATTTTCACATTAATTAGAATATGGAGAAATACCATTAAAATTTTGTGAGACGCATTAATTTGTTTATACTTAATTCTAGTGCAAGTCACAGTTACCTTCCATGATGTAACTAGAACTGGTTTCGATACTTTCCCGCATATATATATCAATGTGTACGCATTTTCGGATAGCGTTCATTTTCGGACAAGTGTATAGACAAAATGAAATATTCGCGAGAAATATGAATTCGCGTCTTAGAACACTCGCGAATATTAGCGAAAATAAATTTCTCGCGAATAATAAGTGTTTTACAGTATATGCATATAGGGAAAATCAATGACCCCCCGGGGCGGGGCCAATTTTGACCCCAGGGCTTTAATTTGAACAAACTTGGTAGACACTCACTAGAAGATGTTTCATGCTTAATATCTTAGCTCTAGCTCTTTGGGTTTTTTAAAAGAAGATTTTTTAAGTTTTTACTATATGCATATAGGGAAAATCAATGACCCCCTTAGGCGGGGCCAATTTTGACCCCAGGGCTTTTATTTGAACAAACTTGGTAGACATTCACTAGAAGATGTTTCATGCCAAATATCTAAGCTCTAGCTCTTACGGTTCTTTAAAAGAAGATTTTTTAAGTTTTTACTATATGCATATAGGGAAAATCAATGACCCCCCGGGGCGGGCCCATTTTGACCCCAGGGCTTTTATTTGAACAAACTTGGTAGACACTCACTAGAAGATGTTTCATGCCAAATATCTTAGCTCTAGCTCTTTGGGTTCTTTAAAAGAAGATTTTTTAAGTTTTTACTACATGCATATAGGGAAAATCAATGACCCCCTGGGGCGGGGCCAATTTTGACCCCAGGGCTTTTATTTGAACAAACTTGGTAGACACTCACTAGAAGATGTTTCATGCCAAATATCTAAGCTCTAGCTCTTAGGGTTGTTTAAAAGAAGATATTTAAAGATTTTTCTTTCGGTTGCCATGGCAACCAGAGTTCTGCATGGAATTAAATTCTTTGAACAATTTTTAAAGGTGACCACCAAAGGAACATTCCTGTGAAGTTTGGATGAAATTGGCTCAGTGGTTTATGAGGAGATGTCATTTAAAGCAAAAGTTTACGGACGGACGCCGGACGGACGCCGGACGAAAAGCGATCACAAAAGCTCACCCTGTCACTTTGTGACAGGTGAGCTAAAAAGTGAAATAAAATGTTGTATTCAAACACAACAAAACCAGAGAGAGAAATGTCTTACCTGATCCAGTTGGTCCCAACATTAGTATATTACTCTTGTCTAAGATGATTTCTGTATCTGATTCATTACCAGTATTGGTAATACTTTTCTTCACAGGTGGCTCCGAGTGTGGACCTAAAGCAGTGTTTCCGGACATCTGTAAAATGTCGGCTATATTTTCTGAAGAAGAGGGGTAAAATTCATAATGCTCATATATAAGTTAGCATTAAATGCCATTGTTTGATAACATTCATAACAATATCTCACAAAGTACTTCTAACAAAGTGTGACAAAAGGATTTTTTTACAAGATTTTTGTAGTGGCCCCAAAGACCAATTTCAACCTTAAGAGCATGATTTCAACTAATTTAGTACAATGTAAAACTAAGGTAATGCTCCATGTACATAATATAGATTAAGATATGGCAGTTCAGTGCATGGAATGAAATTATCTTCATTATAAACAACCTTTTTATGGCTGTGGAAAGAACATCACCCACTATTGGAGCACAATTTGAGATAAAAATATGCAATTTTTACATGAAACAAGTCAGTCACGTTTGCCAGACATGTATTATCCCACAATGGCAACCAATAAGGCATGCTATGTTTTAAGATAGATTTGTTTGAGAGACATAAAAGAAGGTTGTTGAAATATACCTCTAGGTGTGTAGAATGCATTTTGTTTCCTCTCAGGTTTCGAGCTTTTCAGATTATGATTGACTTTCTTGTAGTGGTTGAATACAGCAACAGATAAAATCATCTTTGCGAAGGTCTGTCCTACCACATGACAGTCTAAATATTCCTTGATCTATAATTTTCAAATTTACATTATAAAATATATACAAATATCTCTAATATACAGTGATAAAATTATACAAATTTCTCTAATAAACAGTGATAACTTTATACAAATTACTCTAATAAACAGTGATAAAATTATACAAATTTCTCTAAAAATAAACAGTGAATACACAAATTTCTCTAATAAACAGCGATAACATTATAGAAATTTCTCTAATAAACAGTGATAAAATTATACAAATTTCACTGACAATGATCCTATCAAGCAAATTTCACTGATATACATTGATAATAATTATGTATATTATTTCATTTTCACTTTTCAGGTTTTATAATGCAAATTGGACTGATAAACAGTGAATTCATAAATATTGTATTACATGTATATCATTATGAATTGATACACAAGAAGCTAATTTATAAAAAAAATTCAATATTGTTCAAATTTCAGCTTTAAACTGTTGAAATTGACTTGATGAAAAGCCTCTTTTATCAGTACCCCATGCAATATCAATAAAGTACTGAAAAACATAACTTGAAAATTTACAAAAGATAACATTCTTCAACTCAGAAACGGAAGAATACTGCATAACTTTACATGGTTCATACATGTACATTGCACCTATTAATTAAACACAGTCATGAATATTAATTCTACTTAGTAAATTAAACAAGAGCTGTCGGTAGGATAGCAATGCTCGACTATTCTTAGTGCTTGATAGTAAAAAAGGCTTGATAATGTAAAATTTCCTAAGTTAACAAAAGGGAAAAAAAATTTCTTTAAATACATGTTACAGTTATAGGCCTTGGAGAGAGTCCTATTATGCTCTCAAAGAATATAAAATTTCATCTTGTTTCAAAGCCATATGTCAATGGACTTTTTTTTGAGGTATTACAAAAACTTTAACGAAAATTCTAAGTCGAAAAAGGGACATAATTCTGTCAAAATGCATGATAGAGTTACCTCCTCCTGTCTACAGGTTTGGGTCATCATGGTGAACAAATGTGCAAAGTTTCAAAGCCATATGTCAATAGACTTTGAAAATATTTGAGGTATTACAAAAACTTTAATGTAAATTCCAAGTTGAAAAAGGGGCATAATTCTGTCAAAATGCTTGATACAGTTACCTCCCCCTGTCTACAGGTTGGGGTCATGATGGTGAACAAGTATGCAAAGTTTCAAAGCCATATGTCTATGGACTTTGAAAATATTTGAGGTATTACAAAAACTTTAACATAAGTGGTTACGCCAATGCGGACGCAGACGCTCGGGTGACTACAATAGCTCTACCTATTCTTATCGAATAGTCGAGCTAAAAACGAACTGTATATTGAATTAAGAGGCTGAAATACATAAGTTCATTCTGAAATCACTAAATTTCTTATTTATTCAATTCAAGAAAGGGAGACAACTAAAAAAGTAAACAATATACTATTATTTCACTTTGTCATGGCATTTTGTTCTTTTTAATTCAATGGTGAAGTACCCAAAGATATTGTCTAAATTTCCTTACTTCTTTAGGTGTAGGTATTTTCTTTTCTTTTGGTTTTTCTGCTTTAGCTCCATGTAAATTCAATATGGTGTAATGATGACAATTACTGCACCTTATAAATCTTGCATGCTCTAAAGAGAAAGACTAAACATTAGGTTTAAGAGAATAAGTGACATACAAAATTTAACATTACATACATACACAAATAAAATTAATCATAATTATGCTGTTCATGGGATTATGATGTTTTAAGAAATGAACCATAAAGAGAGTGTCATAATGACCATAAACTGTCTCAATACCAGACAATGGCATAATTATTTACAAGGAAAATAAAGAAGTGGGCAATTTTTAAGGTAATTCATGAAGAAATTTAGATTTCACACACATAATAAGAAAATCAATAAAAGTGGAACAAACAATCAACACAGGATACGTTTTAAGGTTTTATTTAATAACCGGTGTTTCGACTCTCACAAGTCTTCAACAGGGTTATAAAATATCAGAGTATAAAGAAATCATTGTCTAACATATAAAAATAGGGTATACTTTATGTCTCGTGATTTGTTCTAAAAATAGTTTTATGTCATTTCGGGTTTAACCCATAATTTATATTTTAAATAGTTATTTGTTTTTAAGGAAAAATATCTTAAATAGAATAAATGTTTATACGTTAAACAATAAGTTTATAATGAATCTGATGTTCAAATAAAGTGAGTGCTGCCTTAAATCAACAACAGGATTTTAGAGTTTTTGCTAAGAATATACAATAATAGGGAAAATAAGTGACTCCTACAGCATTGTCAATTCTCACCGAACCATGATATTTTTACAAAAGATCTCTAAATAACGTCATGCTAAAATATCAATAGGCCTTAGACTAGCAATTATACTAGCAGTAGTAAGGGAATATAAAAACAAACCACTATATTATAGACATGGAAAATATCAAGTACAATCACTAGTCAGTATATGTATCTAATGCTCCTGGTTTCTGATAAAGGACATCTATAAAAATTACATTATATGCAAAACTGGTGCCCTTTAAGATGTATCAATTTAATTTTGATTTATCTGATTTGAAGTTTAAAGAAAACTAAATACATTAGATGAATGTTGTCACAGTTTATTACTGATCATGATGACCAGCATGGTGTATTCATATGGTCATATATATGTATGTATGTTGATGTTAGACAGCATTACCTTTATTGGCGTCCGCGCCGAAGCGCGGCGCCCCTTTATGGAACGAAATCAGATTTTGTGAAAGGGCGACAGCAACTTCTCGAGCCTTTAAGTCGGTCATGATAAAAGCCGATCATTCCGATCGGTATGAGGGTGCTTGATTATTAATTAAATGTCGCGATATGTTACAATGAATAGCGAACTGGAGGATTTCGCAATGCAAACATTTTCAAATGCAATAACCTTTTCATTTTCAAATGCAATAACCTTTTCCGTCTCTTCGGTTTTTTATTTATCATTTTGTAGTACACAGTGGGTTATCATGGTATGTTAAAATAGAATGATGAGTTGATGACCTAAATATTCCAAAAATCTATTTATAGAGGGATGTACTCCTATCGGTAATTCCGGTCTCTCCGGGTCTATTTTGACCTAGCGAATACATAATAAGGGACAATTCCACAAGTGTGGTGTTGATCATGCGTTACACATGGGTATGGATGATAAATGATTGTATACATGTATATCCGTTGCCAATCAAACTTCATAATGAACAATGTCTTCCGTCCGTTCATTTTGGTAAAAACCAATTAACCATTGAAAAGTTTATAAGAATATCTTGACATCATATGTCTACTAGTTCATCTTCACTTTCTTATTTCTTGCTTGGACGCCCTTTGATGCTTTGCATCAATGCTTTTCTTGTAAGATTTTCTTTGAGGAATTAGAAAATACATGTACCAAAGCATTTTTTCAATTAACAAAATTATGAATATCTTTCATAGGTGACATTCACAGGTAAGTAAAACAAATGTTGATTTCTCACTCAATGGATCAATTAGAAACCTTTACAGATAAAACAATCGTGTTTTATTGACTTTGTGGTTTTCAAGTACTGGTACGTACAATGCAGAACAAGTGACAATCCACAAATTGTGATGTGTTTCAGATTAAATGAACATGTATATGGAATATTTCAGTGCATACGAAGTACAAAAGAGATAATGCAACTGGACAATGTAATGTAGTACATGTATGTAGGTTTATGTGGGTTTAAATAAAATGATTTTTTTGCTATTTTACGAATTGTATACAAAGTTTTGTTTTTTTCATAAATCTTCAGAATCTTCAAATGTTGTTTCTTACCTTCATTTGTCACTACATATGTAAATGGTAACCCACACTTTGGGCAGTCCAACACAATTTCATCCCCAACACTGCCCTTATCTCCACTTCCAGAACCAGACATCTCTCCTCCATCCCCATTTCCTAGATTGGCAACAAGACATTATAACATCAAGTCTAAGGCCATCCTTAAAAAAATGTTGGTTTGTAGTGCTCCAACTGACACATGAAAATGGCCCCGACTCTAAAAATTTTTAACACCTACAAAGATTTTTTTTGTTGAGATCTTTGGGTGGGCACATTTGCCATGAAAAAACCATCCCTGTCACTGGTCCCCGGTGTAATCGGTATTTTACGGCAACGGTAATTTAATGTGGGGCATTTTATTGAACAATATATTATGTTTATGTATTTAGACATGTAGTACTTGTCTATAAACTGTTTACAATTGTATTCTTTTGCTTTTTGCTTGTTATTTTTTGGTTAATATTGCATACAAAAAATCGATCAATTTACCAACTCGGGGTGAGAAATACAAACTTACCAAAAACAAGTAGGAAATTATGTTGCGAGGACATTTTATTAAAATCTTTGTTCCCTGAAGCCATAACTTACCTGTGCAGTCACTAAATTGAATTATTATCGGAAAGCGGTATTCATATATTGAACTTAAACAAGCGCATCCCGATATTTCAATTATAAATTTTGTTTTAACCGAGAAAAATTTCATGTTTTTCATATTTGGGGCTTGAAAAAGTTGTTAGCTATAGCCGAAAATTCGTTTTAAGCGAGTACATATTAAGCAATGTCATTTAATATAAAATGAAGAAGGAATCAGCTGGGGATGTCAGATTTAGTTCGCTATTAACAATTATTCGTTATAAGCGAGTTCGTTATAAGTGGAGTCGACTGTAGTTCCAAATTTTTACAATTTTCAGCTCACTTTAAGACTTGACAAAATTGGCAGCCACTTTTTTGGGGCCATTATTCAATAAATATATTTGACAACATATGAGCAAAGTAAACAGATAATTTATGTGATTTAACAAAAGTGAATAAAATACTATTATAGATACAAATTTTTATCAACTTATATATGAAAAATTGTGAGTTATTGACCAGCAAAATAGTGACCAGGGGAGGTAATGCAATTGTTATGTGAAAATCATTGAATAGTATAAGAAGTTATGTGATCACCTGGTCCGCCGCTATCATCTGGTGGTCCCTGACCGACAGAAGTGCACACTCGTGCTGTGGTATGTAGAAGTCTGTGACCTGTACATTTCTTACTCACAATAATACGACCAGTATCTGTAACAACATTGTATCTGTTCAAATTGCAGTCATGCATGTATAATACATATTTTTCTGCTCTGTTGAAATCATGCAAAAAGAGTAGGGTGAACACTTCAGTAGATGCTTTTATTGAAATATACAATTGTATTTGACCAAATATATTAGTTTTTATAACTAGTTTCCTATCAATATAGGACACATTAAGTCTTCAGTTGTTTTTTATTAACAGATCATGGCATAAAAACTTTCATGTAATGATGTAATTACCTGGGACATGCAATAGTGATATACTATCTGGGACATGCAATAGTGATATACTATTGCCATTGGAAAAAAAACTTGAGCAACTCATTCCAGAGACTGCTTGTGATTGTTGTATGATTGTGTACAGGTAGCAACAACTGGTTGTTTAATGTACAATATGTTAAGCACTATTACACTGGGCGCCAATTCTTTAGTCTCACCTGATACACTTGTTAGTGTTTACACAGCAATAATAGAGAGCAAATTTGCCACTTATTTGTAACCAGAGAACCATTTTAAGCCAACTGACCTGGATGTAATTTGTTGATACAAATGTAGTTACATCAATATATTTTTCTTCCTGAATGGAAAAACAATTGAGAGTAAAAAACTGAATTGTTCTTATAAAAAAGTAACTGACAATACTTACACTTTGTGTGTGACTGTAACCTTTTAATTGTTGACAAGAATCTGATCGGGACAGTTCTAACTGCTTGTGACATGATGTTAGGTTTCTGTGCAAAGTAATGTCAAAAAGTTTTATTGAATTATTTCATAATAATCAATGTCTTGAAATACTTTAACAACATATATAGTATTGTTTTACATTTTTGTGAATATAAAAAAAAACAATGATCCTAGTTCCTACATAAAGTTATAAGAAAAAATAGAAACATGTCTGAAAGACTTTAAACTCCAAGTGTACATTGTACCTTAATCTTAGAGCCTAGATATTGTGCATGACACACTGTCTCATCATGCTTTACAATAGCCGGGTATTATCCCTTAATGCATGATATGCTACATTGCACACATTTGTGCAAAATTGTTAAGTGCAGTGGTAGGCTGTTGGGCAATGCAGACATATATCCTATTATCTAGTATTTAATTTAACCTTATCATGCCATTATAATATGACCAAGAGAAATTTTGAAATGATAACAGATTATTCTTGTCTTGTGAATGACCAATCATTAAGACTTACAAGTACTTGATAGTTTTTATTTACAACAATTAGGTTTAATAACATTTTTAATATTTAGTATCTTCTATTCACAAAGCCAATTATTTGCAACAATCAAGGTCTCCTGTAGTACTAATTCCCTGACACTGCTGTAATCACCATTACTGTTTTGAATTGTGCTGAATTATCCTAATTTATAACGCAGAAGACTGTCGATCATCACTTTATATAATTCTTTGTCTGTTACATTCACATTGTATTTATTAGTCTCAGAATGTGCATCTATTGACCTTATCTATTCTTTAATAAAATCATCATTGCAGTGTTTCTTCCAGCTCCAATTTTTAGGGGGTCATTTCTGACCCCTATGCATCAGATTTTAGGGGTCACTTGAAATTTTAGAGGGTCATGCAGGTTATTCACAGCCATAAAAAACTCTGGAAGAAACACTGTAAAGTGACAAAAATGTATTCATAAAGAGGAACTTTCTTAATTTATTAAAGCATATTTCTTTTAATTATAACTTAGATGTACATGTATCTAACTACGAAATTCCTCTTCTTCTAACTATAAAATTGCATGTGACTATAATTCTTTTTCCTTTCTCAGACAATATACTCAACATCACTAATTCCGCGTCATCACTTACCTCGCGGTAATGGCATATTTTCATGTGGCCAGTGTTAAAATTGGTCAGAATTGACATATTTTATTCAAACACCTTAACAACAAAGTTTTTGTGCAAAATAATTTAAATCTATAGATTTTTACGTAAAACTGAGCAACATTTTACAAACTTCTGCAAAAAACAACAATAGTCCATTAAATTTGTGCATACGTCTGAAACAATCATCATTTTCTAAATGTTCTTGTTTGTTAAAAAAATAAATTTTGAGTTACAATGTAAAAATTATTTTAATATTTAAAATTATGCTAAATAACATAAAGAAATTTTAACTGAAACATGAAAAAACTAAAATAAAACACCATTACCGCGAGTTAAATGATGACATACTATTTTCAAAATGGCCGACACACGGTCTACATCTGACAAATTAAAACTAATTTAGATTGAATATATTGTTGCTTCCTTGTGTCATATAGCAGAAAAATGACTAAATGATACAGTTTATGACAATTTTTGTAGTGTGAGTTTATTGTATGTGTTCTTTACTGTTTTAAAGTGTTAAGTACCGTGACCTAAGAGGAGCACAGTATATTATATGGAAGTGGCTAGCCGTACGGGCCCGTACGGCTAGCCAAAAGTTCTAGCCATACGTGAGTCACATACGACTAGCCTGGACACACTGTATTGGCTAGCCGTACGGCACTTTTCAAAATTATATGGAAGTCGAAAATGCATATGTTATTTTGTGTCTTTAAACGACGATTTTAATCAAATCTCTGCATTTGTCCTAGTGTGTTCACTTTAATAAAGATGCTCCGCAATTTTGCAAAAAAAAATGAATACGAGTAAGCGTTGTATAATCTATCTTAATAAAATTAAGTGTCAAAGTTGCATGTTATAACGTCCTTAATTTTCATGCTTATGATTTGTATGAAAGATGAATTATTAAATCATTATTGTTAATTAAGCACATGGATCGAATAAATAATGATCGGAGGGGAATAAATAAATAAATGAAAAGAATATTAAAAAAACGGTGAAAAGGAAAAATAATTTAATAATGCAAACTTCCCTTAATGATGGACGATGAACAAACTTCTATACCGTCGGTATTTGACGCAATTATCAGAGCCCGACAACAATTATTTTCGGTGTTTTTTTTTTTTTTTTTTTTTTTCAATTTAAAAATTAAACTTAATGAAACAAAAAATGATTATTATCAAAATTTTGTAAACTATTTCAATTGATGTTATTTAACTGCAACCAAACGCTATTTTTTCTCGACGTCTTGTGATGACAAAGTACGTACATTCTTTACTGTAGCCAACACGTCGATTAATCTCTAAAAAGTAAACATTCTTGACTAAAATCCTCGCTTAAAGTCATAATTAACATATGCACTTTCGCCTTCCATATATTTTTGAAAAGTGACGTACGGCTAGCCAATACAGTGTGTCCTGGCTAGTCGTACGTGACTCACGTACGGCTAGAACTTTTGGCTAGCCGTACGGGCCCGTACGGCTAGCCACTTCCATATTATATAGAATGAAACGGCATGATTTCAAATTATGCCCAACACTGCTAAATATTGCCTGAAACACCATCCACTACAGCACACTAATATCGGTAATAAAAAATAATGTTCATTTCGTCTCTGTTAAAAATATAGTATATAGTTCTATCAGATATAAATACTCCCTGACAAAAAATTATGTAAAACACTCACCACTGCAGTGACAACTAAAGAAGGAAAGTTTTTGGTTTATAAAATTATTGATATTGAAAAATTATTAACAAAATGAATTGCTAAAATATACTTGTTGAATGCTTTTTAAATCATAATCATATACATACACAAGTGCCTTATTCAATATAAACACCTTTTCACAACAAAACTGCCCTACTTCTGCCTGATCAGATAATTTACGTGTCAAGGTCGTTTAAGGGAGACATTTATTAGTGCAATATGGATACATAATTATGGAAAATATACGAGTATCATCGCATTATCAAGTGTACTGCATATGACAATTTAAGTACAAATAATAATAACTACAAACAATAATTACATTTATTTCTACGGAATTCTGATGTTTTTATGCACAAATTGTGACATACCTTTCTCTTAAACTATTACTTCTCCCTTTTCAAAATGGCGCTGCCCATGTGAAATTTTTACAGATTTGTTGAAATATGTTTCAAGTTTTTAAACTGTGTATTGTCACGTCTTTCTGTCAATTTAAATAGATAAATTTACACTATTAGATTAAGAAAATGGCAGGTCGTGGTCGAGGACGTGGTAAAACAGTTTCATTTGATGTTCAAGCTCTTGGATTTGGAAGAGGTGAAGCTCTCCCTGCAGCTAATCTACAGCCACCACCATTGTTTCCAGTAAGTGCATGGATGTTTCTTAATATTGGTGACAAACATAATTAATGACATTCCTAAATTATTTGTACTAATGTTGTGAAGGTCAATGTAGGAATAACTTTTGTGTTTTTTACCGCACTTATCAGCTAATTGCAAAATAGTAGGACTGGTTCTATTAAACATTAGTTCAACATGTGACATGCATTATTGTGTGACTCTTAAAATTTTCTATTAGAAGAAACTTTGAAGAATTAAAGGATCATTATGGCATTCTTGTTTTTATACACATTACACATCATTATATCTTATTATTGCAGACACAAGAATTTAAATCAGTGCCTTTGTCTCAAAGTGAAGATTATGAATACATGTTAGCCTTGAAACAAGAATTTATTGCAACTCTTCACAAGTCACCCTACTACCTTAAGCTCAATGATAAAAGAAGAGATATAGAGAGATATTCTGACAAGTATCAACTAAATCAACAAGACTGTGCTGAAGCATTAAACCCAGGTATTCGACTTTCTCTAATGCCTTCCTGAAATATATTTGTTACCAAGTCAGTGTCATAAAAAGTCCATTTGGAAAACCCAGTGTCTTTGGATTCTTTCATGTCAGAAAGCTATCCAGCCAGCTTATGGAATGTCGGTGGTTCTACTCCGCCTCAGGTGTCCATTTGTTCCTGAAATAATGCTCAAAGGGTCACTTCTTTAACAAGTGACGTTTGAATTGTGATTGCAAATTTTTATATAAATATGATTAAAATGAACGTCAAAGATATGGTTCATGACGTTTTGGCGTATTTTGAAATCTAAATTAGCCATATTGTAAAAAATACGCAGCATAAAGCACCGGATGTCAACGCATATTTACGCACTGCGCCGGGTGCGTTACCATGAATTTTGAATTCGCTGTTACGGACAAGCTATTTGCGTTATCAGATTAGATATAGCATCTATTATATCGGTATTGTTTTACGATTAAGTGTGATATACAGTTGACTCTCAATAAGTCAAAATCGCTTTACTCAAAATTCTGCATTAGTCAAGGAATTTCTAAAGTCCCGTCAAATTTCCTTCTTTATCTTTGTATTTTAACTCCGCTTAGGTCAAATTTTGACTTATCGAGACTCCTGTTTAGTCGAAAAGAAAATTTTGTACTGTCAATTAATGTCCAACATATTTTCATCTCAATTAGTTGAAGTGTGAAAACAGCCGACTGATCAAAGATTGGCGACATCAAGGTGAGATGTTGTCACTCGTGATTCACATGTTTCATTGTAATTTTAATTGCCGGTCATCATGTATTATTAACACGTCGTAAAATTGGCTTTAATCAGTTTCAGGACTTAATTGATTTTAACAGAGTCTGACAGGTGTTATTCAAATAACAGCCTAGGTATTGATGTGTGTTATAAATGTAAATGACATTTGTATAGTTAATGTTCCGTCATATTGCATACATTAATATGTACTTCCGGTTCATGATAGTTGCTACTTTCGTCCGATGATCAATTCACTTCAAATATTAGATAAATTGTTGTTGCATTTATTGTAATGAATTGTCATGAGTGCTTATTAAAAACATGAGCTTTACTGATGAATACTGACAAACTTGCATTTATGTCATTGCTACAAATGTTTGTTTTTATGTTTCACTATTAATGTATTAGATTTTGAATAATATATTTTTTGTTCATTTATAATTTGTAGTTGTAAGTGATTTATCGTCATTTTAACGATTAAATATTGCAGCATTGCCGCTATCAATAATAACAAACCTACTTCTTTGAATATTAAATCAGGCACATGTATATACATGTACAAATGTCAACGTAATGGCGGCAGATCCACGTTACTCGAATTCCGTTTGTCTCGGAGTAAAATACCCAGTCCCTTGGATTTAGAGTTACAGAGAGTCAACTGAATAACAATAAGTGATGGGTTGAAAATTTTTCAGTTGACAGTCACAGTCCGGTTTATTTTTGATCAGCCCTCGTACGTGTATAATAATCCAGCATTGATGATAGGAATGAAATGTTTAAATGAAAAAAAAAAGAAATAGTAAAAAACAATTAAAAAATAAAAATGGGGCTGGATTAGACTTTAATTATCAGATGTCTATAACATTTCCATTGCTATGCTTACATGCATATTTATCTACTGACAAGTTTATAAGTTTCTAGTCAATTTTGCTGACCCTGCTGTCTAGAACATATCCATCTAGGTTACAGAAGGCTGATAGTTCTACTTAAGATGCCTGTTTATGTCTTAAATAATTCATGTAAAGCGATTTTGATAGCTTGAATGTTGCTATATTACCTTTACAATGCAGGTGTCTTGTAAATCCAATATAGGTGTGTACATCATATTTGAATAGCTCGGCAAGATAGAACCACTTACCCTGTATAAATTGTTATTCTAATTATACCTAAAGTGGTAATTTTCATTGATGTTTCTCTTCCTGACAGTGTAAATTTTATTTACAAAATGTAGAATAGTAAGGTGAGCATTAATTTATACAGTTGTTTTTTTTAGACTGGAGGAGATTACCTGCTGAATTAAAGGTCAAAGAAAGAAAGTTGAAGAGAGCCAAATCATCTCTGAAACCCAAAATACCTCAACGTAAAACACCTGTTACAGATGTTAAGGAGATTGCCAAAACTTTAGAGGTAATTTTTGTTACTTAACAACTTAATTACATGAAATAAAATATAAAAGTAAATCTAAAGTTAAATGGAATAATACACAATGCATTAAATTTGAATATATTTTAAAGGTTTTAGACAATACTTGAGCTACAGCTGGCGAAATTGACTTTAACAATTTTAAACCTTTATGAAATGATTCATGTTGTTCTTCATATTTGAATGGTCATAGCTGGAAAGTTTTTAAGAATAACAAAATGAAATGTTTCCTAACAAAATATTCTAATAGTTAGTAAGTATTTTACTAACTTACTTGTATTATCAGATGAATTATTTACTGTGTTTTATTAGTTGAATATTTTTACTGTGTGTTATCAATTGAATTATTTACTGTATTATCAGATGAATTATTTACTGTGTGTTATCAGATGAAATATTTACTGTGTATTATCAGGTGAGTTATTTACTGTGTATTATCAGGTGAATTATTTACTTTGTGTTATCAGATGAATTATTTACTGTGTATTATCAGGTGAATTATTTACTGTGTGTTATCAGGTGAATAATTAAATGTGTATTATCAGTTGAATTATTTACTGTGTATTATCAGTTGAATTACTTACTGTTTGTTATCAGGTGAATTATTTACTGTGTATTATCAGGTGAATTATTTACTGTATATTATCAGGTGAATTACTTACTGTTCATTATCAGGTGAATTATTTACTTTGTGTTATCAGGTGAATTACTAACTGTGTATTATCAGTTAAATTATTTACTGTGTATTATCAGGTGAATTATTTACTGTGTGTTATTAGGTGAATAACTAAATGTGTATTATCAGTTGAATTACTTACTGTTTGTTATCAGGTGAATTATTTACTGTGTATTATCAGGTGAATTACTTACTGTTCATTATCAGGTGAATTATTTACTTTGTGTTATCAGGTGAATTACTAACTGTGTATTATCAGTTGAATTATTTACTGTGTATTATCAGGTGAATTATTTACTGTGTGTTATCAGGTGAATTATTTACTGTGTATTATCAGGTGAATTATTTACTGTGTATTATCAGGTGAATTATTTACTGTGTATTATCAGGTGAATTATTTACTGTGTATTATCAGGTGAATTATTTACTGTGTATTATCAGGTGAATTATTTACTGTGTGTTATCAGATGAATTATTTACTGTGTGTTATCAGGTGAATTATTTACTGTGTGTTATCAGATGAATTATTTACTGTGTGTTATCAGATGAATTATTTACTGTGTATTATCAGGTGAATTATTTACTGTGTATTATCAGGTGAATTATTTACTGTGTATTATCAATTGAATTATTTACTTTGTGTTATCAGGTGAATTACTAACTGTGTATTATCAGTTGAATTATTTACTGTGTGTTATCAGATGAATTATTTACTGTGTATTATTTTCAGGTGAATTATTTACTGTGTGTTATCAGATGAATTATTTACTGTGTATTATCAATTTAATTATTTACTTTGTGTTATCAGGTGAATTACTAACTGTGTATTATCAGTTGAATTATTTACTGTGTATTATCAGGTGAATTATTTACTTTGTGTTATCAGGTGAATTACTAACTGTGTATTATCAGTTGAATTATTTACTGTGTATTATCAGGTGAATTATTTACTGTGTGTTATCAGGTGAATAACTAAATGTGTATTATCAGTTGAATTACTTACTGTTTGTTATCAGGTGAATTATTTACTGTGTATTATCAGGTGAATTATTTACTGTATATTATCAGGTGAATTATTTACTTTGTGTTATCAGATGAATTATTTACTGTGTATTATCAGGTGAATTATTTACTGTGTGTTATCAGATGAATTATTTACTGTGTATAATCAGGTGAATTATTTACTGTGTGTTATCAGAGGAATTATTTACTGTGTATTATCAGTTGAATTATTTACTGTGTATTATCAGGTGAAATATTTACTGTGTGTTATCAGGTGAATAACTAAATGTGTATTATCAGTTGAATTACTTACTGTTTGTTATCAGGTGAATTATTTACTGTGTTTTATCAGGTGAATTATTTACTGTATATTATCAGGTGAATTATTTACTTTGTGTTATCAGATGAATTATTTAGTGTGTATTATCAGGTGAATTATTTACTTTGTGTTATCAGAGGAATTATTTACTGTGTATAATCAGGTGAATTATTTACTGTGTGTTATCAGAGGAATTATTTAGTGTGTATTATCAGGTGAATTATTTACTTTGTGTTATCAGATGAATTATTTAGTGTGTATTATCAGGTGAATTATTTACTTTGTGTTATCAGAGGAATTATTAACTGTGTATAATCAGGTGAATTATTTACTGTGTGTTATCAGAGGAATTATTAACTGTGTATCATCAGGTGAATTATTTACTGTGTACTATCAGGTGAATTATTTACTTTGTGTTATCAGATGAATTATTTAGTGTGTATTATCAGGTGAATTATTTAATGTGTATTATCAGTTGAATTATGTACTGTGTATTATCAGGTGAATTACTTACTGTATATTATCAGGTGAATTATTTACTGTGTATTATCAGGTGAATTATTTACTTTGTGTTATCAGAGGAATTATTAACTGTGTATCATCAGGTGAATTATTTACTGTGTATTATCAGGTGAAACATTTACTGTGTTTTATCAGGTGAATTATTTACTTTGTGTTATCAGGTGAATTACTGTGTATTATCAGTAGAATTATTTACTGTGTATTATCAGGTGAAATATTTACTGTGTGTTATCTACTGTTGGGAAAAGGGGTAAAATGAAACAAACAAACAAACAAAAAACTGTTTGTTATAAGGTGAATTACTAAATGTGTACAGGCTGTCAACCAATTCCTATAAAACTCCTATATTTTGGGTCGGAATCCTATATTTTAAAAAACCTCCTATTTTTCCTATATTCTCCTATATTTTGAATATTTTTCCTATATTTTTTTAAAAATATATTGCCGAGGAATTCAAAGAGATTTAAATTTTGGTACTGCTTTTGGCCTTTTGTATTTTACAGGTAAGCGAATGTGTATGCCTGCATCAGCATCACATTACTACAGTGTTTTTTTCCTTTATATAACTACTACCCTAAAACGGTACTGTTCCCAATAGAAAATAGACATTAAAATTCCCAAATTGGCAATTTCCAATGTTTAAATTCCCAAAATGGCTGTTCAAAATTCCCACAAGGCCAAGTGATTTCTCTGAAATCATTTAAATCCAACATATTCGTATAAATCACCACTCAATAGTTTTACCTAGACAGTGGAAGCTGTTGGCTATCTTTATTCATGATGACTTTATCTGATTTGTAGCTGAAAAAATGCATAAAAAAAATCCCAATTTAAGTCAAATAACGCATTTTTTTCCCAATCAGTCTGGTACCGGCACCATTCCCAAAGTAGAGGAAAAAAACGCTGTACTATGCTCAAGGCTGCTGTGCTCCACATAGCCATCTGCATGGTCACCATGAAAAGCAGTGCATCAGTATGTCAACTTTATTTCAGGTGACCATTCAGATGATGGTCATGCATTGCTGTAACTTTCTGCTGATGCTGTGGTTCAAAGCTAATGCAGGCTGTCCAGCATCCCTAAAATTCCTAAAAAAGTGAAAAATTTGAAGGGAATTCCTAAAAATAACCTATTTTTTCACTGAAATTCCTAATTATTTTTATCTTTTGTACTAAACATACTTATAACTTGTAACCCTGTAAACATAACTCAAAGTCGACCATGTTTTGAACATTGTCAAAAATGATTTGGCCATGATTTGCCAACTCATAATTGATGACATTGAAATGGTTTCGTTTCAACTAAAAGTTACTTTGACTATGTCAGTAACATTGCTATTTCATAATCAAAGCAGTTGTTGATAATCATGTTGACAGTTAACAGCAAAAACACTACCATATCATTGTCCTGAAACTTAAATCATAACCATAAGAGATATAACCATATCTGTTTTACCAACTCCAGATATCTTGAATTTTATGTTTGTTCATTTTATCCAAATTTCTGAAGTGGTCCATTTGTATCATATCATATTTGAAAAAATGATCTTTATGAAGCTGTTGTAACACAATCTTAATTAAAAACATGTATAAATAGTTGTCAAAAATTAATGTACAATTTGTTTACTCACAACTCTTTTATTTAAATCTGCATAATATCAAAACAACATTGTAAAGTACTGAATGGGTTAACTTAGACATAGAAAAATTAATTCTTTCCCTCATACTTATTTATTCTTTTCGTATTTTTGTAGGATAAATTGCTTATTTTGCCACAAAGTTATCAATTTTATTCAGTTCTTGTTCTTTCATTCATATGGTGCAATTTAGGAAAGGCAGACTCATATAATTAATCACACTCAAAATAATTTGGCAGTTCAGTAATATAAAGCTCATTTCCAATTACAATGTACACACATTTTGCAATTATGTGATCTAGATAAACTGCAATTGAATGGTCTGTGTGATGAACTTTTTTGATGTGCAATTCTTTGTGTTGATTATAGATGCTTCCCATTTATTCAAATGACTGTACTAAGGCAAATGCCTTTTGACTTTTTACCTACTTTTACAAAAAAATTCATTTGTCCATAATTATGATTCAAAAGCTGCAATGTACAAGAATTTCACTGTATAAGAATTCCTTTTAGACACTTGTGGTTATAACATTCCCAAAACATAAGTAGAACATGTTCTTTTTGACATGTTCAGCCATTTTAAAAAATATGGTTTGAACATGATTTGACTATGACCATTTCCGCAGGGGAGGCAGTTGACCAGTGAGTCCACACTGGTAGCACCTTTGCTCTATTACTAAACTAGAGCACTATTTGTGAGTAACTTTTGTGTCAAATATGCAAAGGTTAGCCCACATCGTGGTCTTTTGGGACCTTAGTTTATTTAGTCATAAAATTGCAAATTTTAGCCCTAAAATTTCTGAAATATTACCGTAAAATTCGCCCTAATTTTAAGTCGGAAGGTGCTGGACAGCCTGCTAATGGTTTCCTTCACTTATACGGTAGACATTTTTTGTAGAAACAGCATACATGTGTAAAAGTAAGAATAATTTACATTTATATAAGCATTGGTAAGTTAAACAATTTAAGTTGAAAACTCCTATTGTTTTGGCTCAAAATGGTCCAAAAACTCCTATATTATCTGCTAAAATATTCCTATATTCCTCCTTTATTTTGGATAAGACCTGGTTGACAGCCTGTGTGTATTATCAGTTGAATTATTTACTGTGTATTATCAGGTGCATTACTAGTCCCCTACTGCTTTAACCGGAGGGGACTTTAGGTTTACCCTCCGTCCGTCTGTCCGCACTACCGAATAGGGATAGGGGGTCATCTAACTGTAAACAGAACAAAAGAGAACAATAGAGTTCATTCCGTAACAATAGAGTAAGGGGCCGTTGGCCCTCTATTAAACAATAGAAAATAACAAAAGAAATGGCCCCTTACTCCATTTAGGCCGGACGTCCGTCTGTCCGTCCGTCAGTCTGTCCGTCCACAAAACTTGATCCCGCGATAACGCAAAAAGTACTAAAAATATTTTTATGAAACTTGATATATGGATAGATGGCAGTATGGAGATTATGCACGTCTTTTTCTTTTGTTCCTATGTTGAAAATTCTGGTTGCTATGGCAACAAATAGTCTGAAAATATGGCAAATTAAACACATAAACTGGATCCAGTGATAACTCAAAAAGTACTTAAAATATTTTTATGAAACTTGAAATATGGGTAGATGGCAGTCTGAAGATTATGCACATCCTTTCCTTTTCTTCCTATGTTGAAAATTCTGGTTGCTATGGCAACAAATAGCCTGAATTTCAAGATTTCTGATTTAAATTTTTCAGCTTTTTCACTATAAATTCTTTATTCTTAAGGGATTTACTTCAAACTTTAAATATAAGTTTCTGGTCATCAACCACATCATATGTGACAAGGTTTACAACTCTAGCACAAAAATTATCAGTATTCCCTCCCTTGAACTTAGAATTTTTATGGAAAAAAAATGTTGTCTTTTTTAAATAACTTCTTTATTTCCTAATGTATCTACTTAATACTTATATATATGTTTCTTATTATCACTCAACATTTTTGAGAAGGTTAAATACTCTAGCAAGACTATTTCCAGAATTATGTCCCCCTTGAACTTTTTTCGAGAAATTGGTATTTTTTAAACCAACTTCTTCATTCCTTATAGGATTTACTTTAAAATCCCACATCTTAATAATATGACAAGGTTGTATAAACATAATTTCCTTACTAGGCAGGGAAAACTAACACATTACTGTGATATAGACAAACTTAGAACTCAAAAGATTAAAGTTCATTCATGTCATTCATTCACTGGTAAAATTGAATGGCCAATGGCCCATCAGAATGTTGCTGGGGTTCTAACCGGTAGGGGACTTATGGATTGCTTGCAATTCTATGATAATTGCTTGTTTACTGTGTGTTATCAGGTGAATTATTTACTTTGTGTTATCAGGTGAATTATTTACTGTGTATTATCAGGTGAATTATTTACTTTGTGTTATCAGATGAATTATTTACTGTGTATAATCAGGTGAATTATTTACCGTGTATTATCAGGTGAATTATTTACTATGTATAATCAGGTGAATTATTTACTGTGTGTTATCAGGTGAATTATTTAGTGTTTATTATCAGGTGAATTATTTACTGTGTATAATCAGGTGAATTATTTACTGTGTGTTATCAGGTGAATTATTTACTTTGTGTTATCAGGTGAATTATTTACTGTGTATAATCAGGTGAATTATTTACTGTGTGTTATCAGGTGAATTATTTAGTGTGTATTATCAGGTGAATTATTTACTGTGTATTATCAGGTGAATTATTTACTGTGTATTATCAGATGAATTATTTACTGTGTATAATCAGGTGAATTATTTACTGTGTATTATCAGGTGAATTATTTACTGTGTATTATCAGGTGAATTATTTACTTTGTATTATCAGGTGAATTATTTACTGTGTATTATCAGATGAATTACTTACTGTGTATAATCAGGTGAATTATTTACTGTGTATTATCAGTTGAATTATTTACTGTGTATTATCAGGTGAATTATTTACTGTGTGTTATCAGATGAATTATTTACTGTGTATTATTTTTAAGTGAATTATTTAGTGTGTATTATCAGGTGAATTATTTACTGTGTATTATCAGGTGAATTATTTACTGTGTGTTATCAGATGAATTTTTTATTTTGTGTTATCAGGTGAATTATTTACTGTGTATTATCAGATGAATTACTTACTGTGTATTATCAGTTGAATTATTTACTGTGTATTATCAGATGAATTACTTACTGTGTATAATCAGGTGAATTATTTACTGTGTATTATCAGTTGAATTATTTACTGTGTATTATCAGGTGAATTATTTACTGTGTGTTATCAGATTAATTATTTACTGTGTATTATTTTTAAGTGAATTATTTAGTGTGTATTATCAGATGAATTATTTACTGTATATTATCAGGTGAATTATTTACTGTGCATTATCATGTAAATTACTTACTGTGCATTATCACTTAATTATGTACTGTGTAGTATCAGGTGAATTAATTACTGCATATTATCAGTTGATTTATTTACTGTGTGTTATCATTTGAATTATTTACTGTGTATAATCAAGGGAATGATTTACTGTGTATTCAGACATTAGAAAAGAAAGAAGAAACCAATGTAGAAGTGGAAGAAGGTGCAGGAGATGAAGATGAAGAAGAAAAAGAAGATGATCCTGATGAAATTGGAGAAGATGAAGTATATGATGAGGATGACTTAGAAGAGGTATTTATTTATTATGTTGATAAGTTAAACATTTTTGAGGTCATACCGTGTCATATGCCTGTAGATAGACACAGCATTATTTCAGTTGTGTATAATCACAGAATAAAGTTACGTAATTAAGGTATGCAAGGGTTTAAACCACAGTGAAATAAGCTAGGATTGTAAAATTTCCAATACAGTGAAGGTAAATTTCTGTATTTAATGTCTTTATGACTTTTGTGCACATTGTTCTTAGACTAAAGAAAAGACTGATGAAAAAAAAAAACAATGTTATTGCCTCCATTTCAGATTAAAATAGCTTGACATCATGCATTTAAAATGAAGTCATATTCGATGTCATAAGAACATTTAAAAAAAAAAGACAACAAAACATAATCACAGGAACATTTTGAAATTATCTCCTTTCCTAAAATGAGAAAATTACCTATTCATACACATATACAATTTGTTGTAAAATTGATCTTTGACTAAGAAGTAATATATATATATATATATATATATATATATATATATATATATATATATATATATATGTGTGTTTCAGGAGACAGATTTATGCTTTTAATTATTTTGACAATGGTGAGGGTTATGGTGATGATGATGGTGACGATGACGAGGGACCAATCTACTGATCAAATTACTGTTGATGGCCTTAAAAGAACAGTGACCAAAACCATATAAATTTTGGTTAATGGATCAGTCCTGTATTCCAAGATAGCCTGTTGTTCAGGATTTTCAAGACCAATTTTGTTTATAAAACTTAGTCAGGTGAAGTTTGTAAGGACTTGGTGCTTGACATTCTCCATATCAGTGATGTCGGACTATTCTTGTCAGCAAGTGTTAGAACAAGCTAAACAATGTTGACAATCTACTGTAACACCTGTTAACCTAGCTTCTTTTAACAATTTTACAGGATATTTGAGCCAAGCTGCTATTTACAATGTTTATAGGAAATATTTGAACCTACATAGTTACTGTTAAAATATTTTTAAAAAAGATATTTTAAGCCAGCCATTGTGGACTGTGTTTTGAAAGTACTTTTCTCTCTTGTGACAATGTTTCTGAGAATTTGTAGGCTGTTTTCAGAACTGTTTATAGATAGTTTTAAGAGAAAATAAAACTTGTAAAATATTGTTATTGTTACTTTCTTTTTACATAATTACATGTATATCAATAAAATATTTTGTTGCTAAAGAGAATTATTTTCTTGTTTTTATACGCCCGTTTGAATTACCGGTCATATTATACACCCGTTTAAAAACGAGTCGTACTACAGTTTCCCCCTGGCGGGCGGGCGGCGTCCAATTTTTTGTTCGGAGCATATCTCCTACGGGCATTGAGGAATTTTAATGAAACTTCATAGAAATGTTCACCACTATGAGAAGCTGTGTCACGCACATGAACCATATCTCTAGGTCAAAGTCACACTTAGAAGTCATTGAAAAACGCTTGTCCGGAGCAAAACTTCAACATGCATAGAAGGATTACAATAATTTGGCACAAATGTTTACCATTTTAAGGCTTAGTGTTGCGTGCAAAATTCAAGTGCCAATGTCAATGTCACACAGGAGTCAAATTTCAGATGAACTTGTGTATTTGGACCATTTAGTCATCATTTATTATGGGATGGGATTGAATACACAAATGGTCCATTATCTCATGAGATCTAGATTTACCATTTTCTGAAGGTGCTAAATAGTGTTTATAGTCGGTCACATAATCCAATCCAGGATCCCTCTATGATACCAGTAATGGACAAGGGCAAATAGGAGAGTGCTAAAAGTGTGGTTATATGGGGACCAATTGTAGGGGTCTCATCATTTATTGATGGGAGGTTATGTGAGACACACAAATATGAAATATACTCATCGATTTGACTACAAATGTGACACGTGTAATATTTCGGTTAATATTCTGCAAGGTCGAGTCTTCTGATAGATTGACAGGTGTGATGGATAAAATATCGCAGATATTCTCCAAATATTGCCCAGAGCATATCTCATATGCATATCTATAATGCCCACATCTCTGACAAAAGCTTTTTGACGGGCATATTTTACGACTATGTTGCCCTTGTTAACTTCAATGAATTATAAAATGGATAAGAACAGTTAATGTTTAACTCTTTTGTTTTACCTTACCGTAACGTAAATCAATGCGCACGGGTTCATGGTATAGTAGTGCCCTGTCGTTCGTCAATTCTTGGCATGTGTATCGTGCAATTTCATTTAATACAGCATCTCCTTATGAAACCACTTAGATGCATTTTGACTACCAACTTTATAGGAAATGATCACTTAGGTGACGGTTTACATACAAATAATTATTTGTAAGAGTATGGGTCTAGTCCTGATGCATAAGTAGCTATCACATGGCACGCTGAAAAATAGACATTTGGATAGGAAGAAAATACATGGCATATATTATGTTTGTTTATTACAATGGTGCCGAACTTCCTTCGATAGTGTTGGCATGTGAACATTGGTTTAGGCCGCGGCCTATACAAAAACTACAGTGGATAGGCCATGCCTAGGCAGGTGGTCAACTTGATGGCCAGGTTCTTAGAGTTACTTGTGGAATCTAGAGTTTTACATAGACTTTTAGTATAGTTAAAAATGTCTCAAAAATCCCTCTTCCTCCCCCCTCCCGGGGTTCACATTCTTAAGACTTGTATAGGATAATACATTTAAGCCTTTTTGTGATCTTTTACAAAAAATACATAATATCTAGTCACCGTGGTCAAAAATAGCCCCGCCCTATGCACGTCCGTTTAACTCACAACGAGTGAAAAATGTCCATCGGTAAAAATGTTGTGAAGCAGCACTTCAACGTTCCTCGTTGTTGAGCACAGGTCCCAATTTCCCGCTTCTTTTGTAAAGACCGTGTTGTGGTTGTAGAAAAGACTGCAACCGATAACATGGTGAGTTTTTCATAATTTTTGAAGATTAACAGACATTTAGTAAAAATATCGAAAATGCAGTTAGCTAGGCGGATTTGGTTTTCCCGAGTATGCACATGTAATAGATATTGGACTAGTTTGGTGGACAATTTGAACTGGAATAATCGTGCGACGCAGTCACCTCGGCTCGGGTAGTTGAAAGACTGGAGAGACCAACTTCTCTTTAGGACCCAATTATACATTGAATAACGTCGATTCTGGTAGAGCGTTTTTGTTGCATTACTAACGACCAAAACAGATGCTGACACAGAGTCTTGCAGCGTAAATTATTATCTGAAAGGTCTTGGCATAGAAACAGAAGCATATACACTTTTTTGCTTTAATCCGTCGTTGTGAGCACCATAACCTTCGTTGTGAGGCAAGACAAGCGGCTAGTGAGTGTTATGGTTTTAATATCGTAATATCAGACGTGAAAATATATATTTTCATCTACCACAGCAATTAAAACGCTTTGTTTACACAGCAGGCATTGTCTTTGCAAGACGTCTGTGCAAACACCAAAGGGAGTATATTGTTTTGAACTGTCGCGTATGTCATCCGTCAATCTGTCCGAAAACTTTGGACATTGGCAATAAACTTCCTTATTAAGTAAACGGATTTGCTTCATATTTTGAAACACAACATCGCCCTTCAGCACTTCCTACAGACCTTGTATTTATTTACCTTGAACCCCTGAAATGGCCTTTACATTGAAGTCAAGATTGTCCAAAACCATTTCAGATTTGCCATAATGTCCTGGCATAATTTTTAGGCACAACACATCTTTGGACAAGGCCTTTCAATATCGCTATAATTTCTTTTGGACTTTGGCCCGGCCTAAACTGACCTTCACCTTTAACAGTCAAATTGTCGGCAAAAAAACTTAAAATTGGTCATAGCTTCCTTATTAGTATAGCGGATTCTAACTCATATTTTGAAAACAACACCTCGCTTTAGCGCAAGACCTTCAAACCTGATCTGTATTTATTTTTACTGTACCGTGATGACCTTCTAGAACATCCAATAACTTTAACATTGGTCAAAACTTCTTTTTAAGTAATGTGGAATGTAATTTAATATTTGGACACATGCCCCTTTTCGGGAAAGAAGCTTCCAACTGACGCTATATTTAATTCAACCATTGACCTTGAATTACTCTTCAGAATTGAAGATCTAAATTGTCCAACAACAAATAATCTATCTGGTCCATAAATCAAGGACACAAGCACCAATTCAAGGGGCATTGTCAACTTAACGCGTGATAGTGTATTCGTTTTACATAACTTGGATCAGTCTCCAGAGCTCTCAGAAACTAGAACCACTAAGTATTGTGTATCACCATAGATTGTGAAAATTGTTGAAATATTCATTAAACACCTGGGCCGTTGATGTTTAATCTGCCACACTAGAGTATTACAAATAAAATACCTTTGATTTAACCTCCACGACTAGTTTCTTCTGTTAATCTGATGGACATTGTGAATATGAAGGGAATAATAATTTTCAAAAAAGAAAGAAGAAACTATGCAAAGAAAAACTACTTGTACTAAAACTTTTGATTGCTTTTGATAGAGTGAAAATTGTATTCTTGCCATTTGAATTAGGCATATTAAACCAGACAAAGCACTGGCGCTTGTCTTGCTCACAACGAGGTTATGGTGCTCACAACGAGGATTAAAGCAAAACAAGAGTATATCGTTCGTTTCTACGAAGACTTTAAAGATAGATGCAATTTACGCTGAAGACTTGTGCGCATTGTCTTGTAAGAATGCATCGTAAAACGTCACCAGAATCGACGCTTCTCAATGTTAATTCGGTCAAAAGAGTTGTCTCCAGTTTTCTCCGAACTACCCCGGAGTGATGCGTCGCACGATCATTTCCATCAAATTTGTCCCACAGTGCAATTTCTTTAACATTGACATACTCAGAACACATCGCTAGCTAAACTGGGAATTCCGGATAATTTTTACATAAAAAGGTCTGTAATCTTTAAAAATATGAAAAACTCACGCTTGTTTATTCGTGTCATGATCGTCATAGACGGGTGCTCACAACGAGGAACGGAAGTTGCTCACAACATTTTTACCGATGGACATTTTTCACTCGTTGTGAGTTAAACGGGCGTGCTATGGAGTCACTTAGTTTACATAGACTTACAGCACGCATAATTTAAAAACCTTTTCCGAAACTACAATCACGGGGGTGGAACCCTATATGTATCTAAAAAAAAATGAGCATTGGTAAAAATTATATGTGAATTTCCGCTGCACCAGATGTGAAGCATAACTCCAGACTTGACTGTAAAATGAGGTCAATCGCAGGGTAAGTTTTCATCTTTTGAAACATTTATTTAAAATTCAATCCTTTTTTTTAAGAAAATCGAAATGTGATTATACCCTCCTGACTCTCCTCTATATTACCCATTTTTTGTTTTGGATTTCTATGCAGTCTTCATCGAGAAATTCTTTCCGTCGAGGGTTCTGGTGTGTCCAAAACATGCAATGTGAATGAAGAAAATGTCTCTAAACGGACTCAAAAAAACAGAGATTTTACGAAATCTCACTACAGACCAATGCTTAACGTTCAGACAAATCCTGTTGAGATTTGGCTACAAACGAAGGAATCGCTGCTCAAAATTGCATTTGAGCTCCATATGTGATGAAGAGATCCGTATATGCATTATATAAAAAATTAGCAACATAATTATGCATCACTTTTATAAAGCAATCTATAATTTATTCTATTGTGTATCATTCTGTAATAAAAACTTTATTATCCGAAATAGACACATTTTCACGAGCAATGCCTAGAATAAAGCTATTTAGCATGTAGCATCACCTTATGGCCCTCTACAACAGTAATATAAATCGTGCCCCTTGCCTTAGAATTAGCTGTTGAAGATTACAATGCCAAGAGCTTAGATATTCTACGTTAAAGATTGGCACCGCGGTCATTAGGGTTTTAATGACTAATATAGTAAAACACATTCAAGACTTCTTGCTTGTGTGAAGAACTTGGCTTTTTGGCATACAGTACAGTATTTCTAAACAGACATCTGCAAACATTTCATGAATGTAAGGAATGGCACATTCAATATGACCAATTAACTTAACTTCTGCATCGAAGTATTGTGACCTTTAATATGTCACAAAGTGAGAAAATGTGCAGCCTGACTGGAACTCAAACGTGGAACCTTTGGAATACTACCCCAATGCTCTACCGACTGAGCTCTCCGGCTGCTTACATATCTTCTCCCCTAAA